ATGTTCTCAGGTAATGAAATATGTTTGCCGGGATAGTGTCATCCTTTAAAGTAGTACCTTTATATTTGTAGTCTCCGAATGAATCAAAATATTCTACAAAATTATTTTTTGGATCGTGTTGTAGTAAGCCACCCAATGTGTTCCAGGCCCTGTCGACAAGTCTAAATTAATAATTCCACTTTCAAACTTTCTCATCTTTTTGGGTAGCAAGTCTGATGTGAAGACGCCACGAAATCCTCTCTCACCATTCATGCATTCCTCAATCATTTTGTTCGAGATTCCCAGTTTTGTAGAACGCCTTTCCCCTTTTTTTCTTTCCCCCGCAACCGGATCCGCTCACTTTATCCATAATCTTTTTGGCTCCCCATCCAGCTGCCCCCGAAAGAGCACCGGTAGCTAAAGTAGTAAGAATGGGAAGAAGAAAAGGCAAGAATCCACCATTTGTCTCCAGTTGTGTTTTGCTGATCTTTATACGTTTGCCCTTCTTTAGTTGCTCGATCTGTGTTTGTGTAAGATATAGATCATGATTTGGCGCCTTGGAGGTATTGATCTGTAGAGTGACCTCCTCTTTTTTCTTGTGTGCAGTCTTTAACTTGTTGATCTGATGATCAGTCAGATGCACTTTTATTTTAATGTAGTTACTCATTTATTATATGTAGAGAAAATTTTAGTTAGCTCAAAAACTTTGCGTAGTAGCTTTTTACAAAATCATTAGTTAGCTCACCCTTTTTCAAAAGCGCATCCAACAGAGTAACGATTTTATTGTAGAGCGTTTTACTTTTATTCCCTCCACATCTTTTATCCGTCAGTCGCGAAAGCAGCTCCACCCTATCGATACCCTCGCCTGAATAATAATTTCCATCCCTGAGTGTTTTGAGTGCTTTTGTATAGTTCCTCATCATTTGAATTTTGTAGTCGAACTTGTCCAACTCTTTTCTTAAATATTTTTTCCTATCTTCATTATCTTCTGCACTGTTCTTCCATTCTTTTTTCATAGGCCCTTTTCTAGTTCCGAATTCTTTATTTCTGTCGTTGGCGCGTTTTATGATTTCATTCAGCTCGCCCTCACTTTTGTTCACTAATTCCGATGGTAGTTCAAAACCCTCTTCCCCGAATGAAAGACTCGTCGATATCCTTATTTAAGTTTAAATTATAAATCCTGCGCTCCAAATCTTTTATTCCATAATCCAATTCTGGAATTGTTGTGGACTCTAACGATGGAGAGGATATTTCCTGTATTGCATCCTGAACAGCTTTAAGGTGTTTGTTTCTAGATACTTCCTGCTTAGTCATCTCTTCTGTCACAGGCTTATGAAACTCTGTTAACATTTCTCGAACACCTAATTTTTCTTGAAGCTGCTGCTCGTTTTTTCTTCTAAGATCTTTTTGTAACTCACCCAATCTTTTTTGGGCTAGTATCTGCCCCTTTATCTTTTCAATGCGTTCCTTTTCTAATTGATTCATCTTTATTACTTAGCAAATAAAGTTTTGCCTTAAAGTAAATGTTTTTGCCTTAAAGTAAATATTTTTTGCCTTAAAGCAAATATTTTCACCTTAAATAAAGATATGATTCGAATAAAGAATTACACGCAACCTGAAGAGTTTGCATATGCTGATCAGCATCCTTTGCTACCCAAACATCCCTTCAGACTTTTAATCACCGGACCTTCAGGGTGTGGTAAGACAAACTTGCTTCTTAACTTCATCTATGATTGGTTGAAGTTTGACAATCTCTACGTATGTGCTAAAGACATCTTTGAGCCCAAGTATTCATCTCTACAAGAAACATACACGCAGTTTAATGATATAGAGGAAGATGATATTCTTAGCCTTAAAAAAGTTAAGAAGGTTGATAAAGAAAAAGTTTTAGAAATGTTTCACAAATTCAAGAAGGAAACATTATTCACGTCAGAGTTGGGCGATTTTATAACAGTAGATGAACTTGATCCTAACGTTAAGAATCTAGTTGTATTCGATGACTGCGTGACAGAAAAGAAGCAAAAAGTCATAGAGGACCTATTCATAAGAGGTAGGAAGAAAAATGCGTCCATCATCTATATATCTCAATCATATTACTCAACACCCATCAACATACGCAAGAACTGTAACTACTTTATCTTCTTTAGACTCCAACCAAGAGAGGTTAAACAAATCCTGAGGGAAATCGATGGTAGTCTCACCAGCGAGGAGTTCGATAGTATGTACAAAAAGTGTGTCACGAAACCTCATGATTTTTTCATGCTTGATTTAGTTAACCCTGAAATGAGGTATAGGAAATGTTTTTCTTCTTTAAATAAAACATGGAACAAAAATTAGAGTCATGCTTGTACGCATACAGAAAAAGCTACAAATTCTACAGTGATGTTAGTCTGTCTCTGACAATTGCGAAGTTCTTGTTTGGTACTTCGAGTTTGACAGCTTTCGCTCTGCTTCCCTTAGCATCCTTGAGCATCGTGGCCAGTGTCATAGAGATTATTGATAAATCCTTGCATGTCGCAGAAAGGAAAGAAGAATACAAGTTTGCCTACAAGTTTTATAAGTCTTTACTAAATTGCTTGAGAGCAAAGACTATTTCGGAGGAGGAAGCTTTGATTAAAGAGCAAGAATTTATTAAGGACTTGAAGTACTTCCCCATGGAAAAATATTTAAAGGAGAAAGGTTTGAACGGGTACGAAAAATAATTTTCTATTCTTAATAAATGAGCAAACAAGATAGAAAGATTAAAGGTGGAGATTTAGTCGGTTGGATGCAAGATAAGCTCAATCCACCAGAAATGCATCTTCCTGGTTATCAGTACTGTGGACCTTTTACAAAGCTTTCTAAAAGATTGACTAGAGGGGATCCAGGAGTTAACAGAGTAGATAAAGCATGTAAGAAGCATGACATAGCATACAGTCAAACAAAAGACACTAGACAGAGACATGTTGCAGATGAAGAGCTTTTAAAGGATTTAGATGCCATTGAAAACCCAAACAGCGGATTTTATCCACTCGGAGAAAAACAAGCTAGGGCTATCATCCGACCTATCATAAAAACCAAAAGAGTTTTTGGACTAGGTGCTATTGTGACATATTGCTTGATTTGTAAAAAGAAGACAGGTACACTAAATGTTGAAAATTCGGTAACAAGCAACGGAAGGCCTATTATGAAAGGAAAGTGTGAAAAGTGTGGATCAAGGAAAAGTCTTTTTTTAAAGTTGACGGGGTAACTCAGAACACCCCTAGACTGAGAGATGTGTACTATGATCCTGAAACTGGATATTGCGGCATCAAGGAGCTTCAGAGGAAGGTGCATGTTCCTAGAAAGGATATCGAAGAGTTCTTACACCAGCAAGATGTTTATACCAAACACAAACCACTTATCCGTAAATTCAAAAGAAGGAGAACTTACGTATCACACATTGACGACCAATGGCAAGCAGACTTGCTATTTTTAAAACCATTATCAAGTTCTAATGATGGTAACAACTACTTACTAACAGTCATAGACATTTTTAGCAAATATGCTTGGGCTATACCAGTTCGCAGAAAAACGGGAGAAGAAGTTACTATAGCGTTTAAAAAGATCTTTAAGGAAAGAATTCCTCAAAAAATTCAGACAGACAAGGGGACCGAGTTCATTAACAAAGAGACGCAACAACTGTTTAAAGAGAATAATATTCACTGGTTTACTACTGAAAATGTCGAAATCAAGTGCTCCATAGTGGAAAGGTTCAACAGAACTTTAAACGGTAAAATTAGAAAATATTTAGCAGCAAACAATACAAAAAGATACATAGATGTATTGAGTCAGTTAGTAAAAAATTATAACAATTCCTACCACAGAAGTATCAAAATGACACCTGTTGAAGCCAGTCTAAAAGAAAACAGTGGTGATGTGTATCACAATTTGTTTAAAGAAAAGGTCATACATAAACCTAAATACCAAGTAGGAGATAAAGTAAGAATATCAATATATAAGTCTGCCTTCAGAAGAGGTTATCAAGCAACTTTTACAGAAGAAATATTTGTCATTTCTGAAGTATTAGAAACTGATCCAATCACTTATAGAGTTCAGGATTTAAATAATGAAGAGGTTAAAGGTACTTTTTATGAAAATGAATTGGTAAAGTATGATAAGAAAGACAACGTATATAAGATTGAAAAAGTCATCAAAAAGAAAGGGGACAAATATCTAGTAAAATGGTTAGGCTATCCTGAGACTAGCTGGATTGATAAGAAGGATTTAGTTTATTTTTAATAGCCGACGAAAGCTATTAAAAATTATAATTCACTCATTGGGGTCATCGCACCCATATTTGTGCTCCAATTTAATGCATCGAAGATGGTTCTGCAGATTTCTTCATTCTGAGCTAGCGTTGTCATCAGTTTAGGTAGCTTAAGTGGGACCTCATAACCACCTCTTTTCCGTAACATTTGGTATAAAATATAGTCTTTGCTAATTAAGTTCTTACGCTTCGGATACAACTCTATGTATTTAGAGATAAAAGATGACAAATCAATCATAAGCTCTTCTTCGAAAGGAAAGTTATACTTACTTATCCATTTATAAAGATTTGTCATTCTGCTTTTCATTCTAGCTGTCTGCGCCTTTTCGAAATATAAATCTTCTAATTTGATAGGGGGTTTATTTGGATTATATCTCAGTTCTTCACCACATGCTTGGCAATTGTACCAGTCATCACCAATTACATATTTGTGTTCACACTCTTTAGTTTTCAAGTCTGAAGAAACTTCTGTGTCTGGACTAAACAATCTCATTATTTCCTCCATTTCTTCCGTCATGTCCATATTTATTTTAATAAGTCTTCCTTTTAACCCCTTTTAAATTGATTGATAATGTTGTTGTCATGTCTATACATAAGTGCATGAGGTGCAAAAATCAAAAAGTCTTGGTGCTGCCAGTTCTGGAGGCGGATCTCTATTGGCGGAGTTCGAAGAGGCATGAGGGATTCAGGACAGCAGTTGGGATAGGACCAGTTGGTGATACCCTTGAAATGTTCAGTACGTAGCCGAGCTATTATAGAGGAGAGGTTTCTTGGGGGCCTTACCAAAATGCTGATCCTTCGCCTGGCGTCTGTACAGGTGACTTTTGAGGTTGCTCTTTATCGCATAGTGACCGTGAGCCAAGGTATGGATACCATCTGGTAATATGTGCCGCTTGTCATCATCTCCTGAAAGGGCAATCTTATTTACTTGTATGGAATGAATATTATGTTTTGTGCTTCTAATGAGATTCATAGATCTGTACTGTTTTTGATGTGAGAATAGACAGTTTTTGTAATCCTCGAAAGTAATTCTATTTTTCACTACACATTTCTTAATACCTTTTGATTTTTTAACTAAGTCTTTTTCAGTTTTACAGGCATACATCTTAGATATTAAGCCAACGTACTCTTCCAAGATCCCCCCTGCATTTTCATCCTTCATCTTCCCCAAAACCTTTTTATTAACTCGCGGCATTCCATACCTATTATCCTCCGGATAATCAAACGTGTCAAAATGTTCAAGCATTCCTTTCATATCTTCATAGAAATCATCAGTTTTTATATCATAGATGAAACTATCCGTATCCATGTACAACAGTATAATGTTTTTCCCATATTTAGGTGCCATCACATTATAGTGGAAGTCGTACATTAAAGTTTTGGATAAATCTAAGATACTCATTCCAACATAGATAGGTTTATCAAAGAGTACTGCAGTTTTGTGCATATGTATAGCGGCTAAATTTTCTTCAAATATGGTTCTTCCTTTAAAATTTGGTTTAGCAATAAGTTTTTCGGCTTTCTCCGCATCACAGCACAGTTTGATATCAAGCCTTTTTCTAATATTTTCCATTGTCTTACCAAACACAGAGTTGTTCATGAGTTTATAGAAATCTTTTTCAAAGTCATTAGTTGCTTTAGTTCTCATTTCAGTGTTCAAGTCGATATATGTCTTCAGCCAAGGTGCTTGCTTATACTCTAATACCCTGTGTACTTTCTTCAATTTTAAGCCCATTTGTAAAAATTGTTTCAAACCCCTGTAATGAACCACATAATGATCTTTGTCATATAAGGTTGTTAGTAATTTTGTATGTTTTGAGCCATCAGGAACTCTGTTCTCAGCTCCTAGTGGGAGGTCTGAATGGAGATCATGCAAATATTCAGGATATTCCAAGTCGCATTCTAAGATATAACCCACATCTGAATCGTCGGGGATCGCTGTTACATCTATATCGGTATCCCCCCACTTGAAGCCGCCATATGGTAGAAATTGGCTCATTGCCCATCCATACAAGTTATTGGCATCTAGGTAGATTAAATAATTAGATTCTTTACTTCTGTCATAGTCTTTCATATATTTATTATTAGCTTTCCCATACCTATTACAACACTGAGAAATCCCACCTCTGGTTCCTTTTTCTAACATTAAAATCATGTTATAATCAGTCAATAATTCTAATTCCTTTCCAGTGGTTTTTAACATAGCATCCCAAGAGAGACCGGGTGCAGTGAAGTACCATGCAGGATCCAATTTGTAAGTCCTTATGCAGACATCTCTAAAATGTTCCATAATATCAGCTAAGATCAGTACATCAGTCTTCACATACAAATCAGAATACTCACCTAAATTTTTAATGTTGAAGGTCTTCCATACTGTTTTGGCATGTGCATAGTCCTCGTGTGATATATCCGACTCAGTCATTTTGTTGTAAAATTCTTTTTTGTTGGGTAGTCGTGTTTCGTCACATTTATCCCACGAGTCCATATAATCATACGGATACACGCCTTTTCTGGTAACGAGGTCCAATTTGTCCTTGGGAAAGAATTTGGCTGTTTCTCTGAATTCTTTCACATTTTTGGCTAAACTATCAATGCTGCTAGCCATGAACTTAAAAGAATCCAGAAAACCTCAACTTTATTCCGGGTAGCTTGACCTTTTTACCATCACCTGCATCTACCCATTCCGCTCCAACCTCTTTGCTGAATGAAATGTATTTTTCCTCAAGTGTTTGGAATGACATCGATATTCCCATTATCACCACCTAGCTCTTTTATGAATAAATGAGAATCGTACCCAGATAAGTTGTGAATGAAGACAGGAATGAGGGAAGGGTATTGGTACATTAAGTTACATAATTTATGAGCTGGCCCTCTATAGTTTGATTCATGTTTGGATGGATCGAGTAAATGGTCATGATCCATTACTTTTTGTCTTTCGGAGTCCTCAGAGTCCTCAGAGTCTTTCGGCGAATATGGTGATGGTACTTCTTTGATGTTAAACCCGCAGATATGACATATATGGGTTCTCTTGAAATGCCTGTCATCTTCATCAGTAATTTTGATTGGGTGCTTCTTATCATAAATTTTCTTTATCTCTAAGGCCTCAGCTTTCAACGTTTCGTAAAATACTTTAGTTGCATTTGGACCTCTATATGTGATAGGCGGTTTGTAGTCTCCGTGCTTATATTTAATGTAAAGTGAGAAACTCATGGGTTCATGTTTTTGGTACTTCTGCATGTAAGAGCTCTTGGGATCTGGCTGACATGTATCTATCTTAGTTGTTAAACTTTCAAAATCTGCATACATTACAAAAGGTGCTCGTAGCGATTTATGGTAATGTTTGAACTTTAATTTTGAATCTTTTTCAGGCATTACTATTTTAACAGCCTGATTTTTCTTACAATCCTTTTCATGCGTTTGAAGATCTTCCTCAGAGTGAAAAAATAACAGGCACCTTTCACATGGGTATACTCTTCCATTATGCTTGGTTAATTGCCCACATATTAATTTGGACATGTCTTTTATCCAACAGTAATGACTGTTCCCTTTCTCGTTTCTTATGTAAAGTAAATTGACATGCTTATCTACTTTATGCTTAGTTATTCTTAAGGGGTATATGTTAGTCTTTTCATCGTATGAGTATATGTTCACTGATATGTTATTCAATTTTTCGAACCTTTCGAGTACTCTGTCTTCCATCTTTACTGGGTATTCAATGCCTTCGAACTTTAGCTCATTTTCATATGGCTTATATTTGGTGACTCTTTGGGCATCTTTTTCTGCTGGATGTAGTGCAGACAGTATCGCCCATTTAAAACACTCATTATCATTCTCATTTTTTACGTTTATGACTGCTTTTTTAGCTTTAATCACTTTTGACAAATCAATGTAGGATGATCCTCTCAGTGGGGTGTACTTATTGATCCTCACCTCAAGACTTTTGATTCTAGCAAGCGTCCAACCTGAACCCCTTGCAACAAACTCCTCCATCTCCGTCAATAATTTTTGGATAACTGATCTGTAATAAGCTACCAAATCAGTTGATTCTAAGATGACTTCATTTTTTGTTTTGAAGTTTTTCTCCATTTCTGTCATCGTTTCATCTTTCCCTTTTTCATAGTCACAGAGAAATTGGAAATTAACCTTCAAGCCATGCAGCCTCTTCAGATGTTTTGTAATAAGACCCCGGACCAGTGATGATGAAACATCGTTCAAGAAGTCTTTGGGAAGCATCAGATTGTGCTCATTTTGGACATCATACGTCACCAAACGGTTTTCAAAAGCCGTATCAATTTCATTGGGGGTATATAGCCTTCTCTCTCGCGAATCTGAAAACAGGTCGGAATCAAATTCGAAGTGACGGTTGAACAAAACGCTTTCTATGTATGCTTTGATGTCTGCCTTCCTCCGTAGTTTGGAATAGCCTGCGATGCCACGCGATCGACAAAATTCACGTAGTTGGTTAATGGTCATATGATGCAGCCCCTGCATATTGTCAAAATCATCTCTGTGAACCTCCTGGCTGGCCTTCTTAGGCTTATAGTTTTGATGAGCTTTAGTTTGTAAGTGCTTATTTATGCTAGATTCCTTTATTAACTTTCCGCAAACACCTGATTTTTAGCTCCCTCTTCTTCTTTCGCTTGATAAACAAGTCATTGTGGAACCTGGAAAAGCCGTTGTGGTATTGAATGAGGGCGATCAGTTCCACCTTTTTAAGTTTCGAGTATCCTCGAATATCATTTTCTCGACAGTAATCTTGTAACTGTCGAACTGTTTTTGATTGAAAATCCATTTTGTCTTTCTATATACTACAAACCTTCTCTTTAAATGCTTTTATTATTCACTAGGTATTATTAATCAATTACCCATTGTCTCTCCTTTGACGCTCTAGAAGCCATACATAATGGTGCACTGATGGTATAAATTAATACCCTCACTAAATATACCATGCCAGTGGATTATGTGGGGGACGAATGTCCCCTTGCAAAAGAAGCATGCGATGAAGAGGAAAAGTGGCGTTTGTAAAAGCGGCGTTTTGGAAAAGTAGCGTTTGTAAAAGTGGGTTCGATTTTAATGGAGGGTTGGAGAGCCATCACATTCTAAAAGTGGGTTCGATTTTAATGGAGGGTTGGAGAGCCATCACATTCTAAAAGTGGGTTCGATTTTAATGGAGGGTTGGAGAGCCATCACATTCTAAAAGTGGGTTCGATTTTAATGGAGGGTTGGAGAGCCATCACATTCTAAAAGTGGGTTCGATTTTAATGGAGGGTTTCGCAGTCATTGTTTCGCCCCCAAAGGTCACGGCGCCAGCTCTCTCATTTGTACACTACTTCTAGGTATAAAGTACCAGGATCATTTTTGCATTAATATCAATAAAACGCCTCTTTCTAATTACAGTTTTGGGATTTTGGACGTTTTTTTGCCAGGCGAAACTTTGTGCCGAGCAGAGGGTTTAATTTCAGTTCCCGTTCATAGATGAAGTCTCTTGCTTTAGTTTCTTCTATTTTTAATTCATTAAATTTACGCTTTTATTCTTCCAAAATCTTCAAATCACCACCTTCAAAATTCTTTGTGTAGCAGCCTGTTTCAGCTGTATTATTCTGTTACTCTCCTCTTCTTCAAGTGCTGCAAAAGCCCGTTTGGATTGCAGATCAGCTTCTTTTTCTTCATCATTGGAAATTTGAAACTTACTAATATTTGATCGGAACTTGTTAAATGGAGAAAGAATACGAATAGGTTCCGAATTCAAACAAATCATTATTTGCCAGCAGAGACGCAGACACAGGATATGAACAACTACGAAAATAGAAGTCATCTGAAGTGGTTGTGCGCGAAAACACAAACTTGATTTGTTTTGTAGCGTACGAAAGAGAGAAATTTTGCAGTTTCAATGTAGCTGCTTTATTTTTATAAAAGGTGCAGTTAATTTCAATTGATTAATTAAGGAACGAGATCGCTAAAGTCTGAGATATATTCATGAATGCTTATTAAATTTATATTGTTTTAAGATATAATTTTTTTCGCAGTTTTCAAATCAGTTTTATTTTTATTGCATAGGCGTTATAATTAATGTCGAATATATATATATTTATTTATCATAATTCATTTTTCTTGATCTATGTTTCTGAGTTCTAATTTTTAAGGAAATTTCAAAGCTGTATTTTTTCCCAGCATATAAGTTTATAAAACGGTGCAAAAAAAAAAAAAAAAAAAAAAAAAAAAGAAAAAAAAAGTTGAATGTACATCCTTTGGAATAAATGTGGTTTTAAATTATTTCAACTGCAGAAGAATTTGAAATGCATTTCCTAAAGGTTTATGATGCACCATATTTTTATTTTTTTAATTTCAGTTTTGAATTCTCGTTTGTCATCCCTTTATTATATGTTATTTTAAAGATATGTATAAAAAAGTATTTTCACAATTGAAAAAAAAAATAATAGTTGGTATATGTATTTATCTATTTTTCAAAATAATTTTTTATGGTAAAATATGTATCAACATTATTTTATACTAATAACTATTATTTTATTACAGTTCACGCGCCCTACTGTGGTTGACACATATATAGAGTTTATAAATAATTGGAAAACTGCCAGAGATGCCATCAAATCAACTTCCTTGGCTAAACCAGCCTTTGCGAAGTTTCTTGAGGTATTGTATTTTCCATTAGTTTGAAAAAGACACACAGTACAAAGTCCAAAATCTGGATATACAGTATCTGAAATATAATAACTTGACAACAATTTTTTTTTTTTTTTTTTGTTCCCCTGTACAAAATTTGGAAGTTAAGAAAAAATAGGTGTATCATAAAAGCAATTTTTTTTTTCTGTATTACCTGATATTTCTATACATGACTTTCTAACACCTGGCTAGGAAATCACACCATGGCCAGTGACGACCATGACAGATGTAATTATGGGGGGGGGATTAGCATTTTTTATGTGATCTAAAGAATATATTAAACCCCAAGACATATTTATTTAGAATGGAATGTTTTCTTTTCTTTTCTTTTCTTTTTTTTTTTTTTTTTTTTTTTTTTTTTTTTTTTGTTTGTTGTTCTTGTTGGTACAGCATTGGTAAAGGGTGAAAGAACCAGATTCCCAGGACAGAAATATTTTGATATAAAATCTTATATAGCATTGCAAGATCATGAGAGGACATAACTGCAGATATTTTAAAAAATAACTACTAAATTTCATGATGATGATAAGAGCTATAAATCTGTTTTCAAATGTTGCAAGAAAAAGTGAAATTTTCCAATTAGTGTAATAAGAAAAGACATTCAAAACGATGATATAATTGAAAGTCTAACATTATAGTAATAATCTCAGGTTTTGTACTTTGTATATTGTGGAAAATTAACAAGACTGTATGTTATAAAAATGAGTGATGAATAATTCAACATTTGTTTAAAAATTTTTGTCTGCTTTGTTTGCTTTGGAAGTGCTTCCAATTTCATATTTGAAATACTAATATTGGGAGTATAAGAAAGTTTCTGCCATTTGGCAAAAAATGATGCCAACAGTAAGTTATGGTTAAACTTGTCTGATGTGAAATATCATATGATAAGGTAGGACATCTGCTAACAACATAACTTTGATATAATATCGATTTCATATCAACATCATATATTTTTTTCATGCAAGAATGTTGACTTTTGAGCCAAAAGTGTCATTTGCGGGAACTTTTGATTTACTTCTTTAATTTGAAGAAATCGGCAGCTGTGGTGCATCGATGTGGAAACATATGGTGAGGCTGTCTTAAATGAGAGAAGTTGTTATGAGTGGTTTCAAAAGTTAAAGAACGTTAACTTTTTAAGAATTTGACATTAGAGATAAAGAATTTAATAGAAGGATGAAAGTGTACAAAGACATGGCAAGGATTCATGTCAAATAGAACTTGCACTTATATTAGTAGTGATTCAGCAAGCAATTTCACAGTGTTTAAAATGATTGGGAATTTTTCAAAAGCAAGGAAATTGCAAAAGCAAGCAAGTTCAAGTTCCATATGAACTGAAGCTGTGAAACATTGAATGCTGATTTTTTATACATGAAATACTGCCTGCCAGGCATAAACGAAAGAGTTTTTTGCATCATATAGTCATTGGTGATGAAAAAGAAATTCACTACGATAATCCAAAGAAGAAGAAATGATGGGGACCACCTGGCCATGCTTCAACATCAATAGTCAAACTAAATATTCATGGAAAAAAAATCACGCTGTGTATTTGGTGGGATCAATTTCATGTTATACATTACAAATTTCTCAAACCGAACAAAACCATAACTGAGCTGTCTACTGAACACAACTTATAAGATCGAGCAGAGCACTCAAAGAAAAATGTACCCACTAATATTCTATATATGACAAGATTATTTTCCTACATGATAATGCTCATCCGCATGTTGCGGTGCTGGTCAAAACTTACTTGGAAACACTCAGATAAGAAAGTTTCCCCCTCCCGCTGTATTCACCAGATATTGCTCCTTCTGATTGCTATTTATTTCAACTGATGACACGTGGCTTGTCTGAGCAGTTCATTTTATATGAAAGTATCAAAAATTGAGTAGATTTGTGAATAGTCTCAAAAGATGAAGTGTTCTTCTTATGTGGAATCTCTGCATGTCCCTTAAGGCATGGTAATACAATTCTGTCCATGTAACAAAGAGTGTTATTTTGCTGGAAGAACCTGTTTTTGATGGAGAAGACAAAAGCTATGAGAAGGTATAACTGTTGAGCCACAATTTTCATGTAGTCCACAACTGTCTTTATGTTTTCTACAACAATGATGGAAAATATCTCAAAATCATCAGCACCTCTGCCTTGTTTATGTCTCACAATGTGTTTCAGTCAAAAATTATTAAGCATGAACATCCAATATGTCAGAACTACTACTGATTTCACTGTCCTCCTCTCTGTTTGCATAGGTACTAGGAATAGTAGCTTATGAGTATCTGACAAGTAGTCCCAATTCAGAGATATTTGTTCTTTAGTTTATGATTAGATAAGTATTTGTATGGTAAAAATTCTAAATCTGCATTTTAAACAAAAGAAGTAAATGTGATTGTTTGCTGATTAAATTTGGTAATTAATGAAGTCCTTAACAATATTTGATACATACTTAATATCTCATCAACCATTAAACTGTCACAAAGCAGCATAATTTAGTGCCAATTATGGATAAGCACGATGTAATAACACACTCGTAATATCTGCACTTTTGTGTGATGTAACCCTGATTGACTGTCAGTAAGCCACATTCTGTGTCTATGAATAAAGACATAAATTCACTGGTATTGCTGTATTTTTTTTTTTTTTTTGTTTGTTTGTTTTGGTTGCATTTTGAAAAAAATTATTAAAATTTGGGATCTGCGTTCTAAAAACTGCAAGCGGTGGATTATTTCAAAGTTATCATAATCTGCCATAAAAGAGTATGGATTAATGGGCATGATATGATCAGCTGCATATACCTGACAAAACAGTAATAGACTGGAATGACAACTTGCGGGAAGTTTGTACTCTTAGTATTCTAAACAAAGCTTTCAGTAAGATTGGAGGGCCTAGTAAAATAGTAGAAATCGACGAAAGCCTTTTCTGAAGCACAAAAATTAAGTAGATCAAATACTGATTGCTTATTAAATAAGGCACCAATTCCTTCAGAATTCCATGGGAACAATTGACGCAAGTTCAGTAGGATCTCCGTCAGCTTGGTGGTTCTTTATCATTCAATGGTAACCAAATTTCATAATCAATGGGAACATAAGTACATATTCAACATAAGTACCCAATAGTTTTTAAAAATTAACGTTTTTATGAAAAATAAACCCATTTTTAGAGTTAGAACTTAATAATTTAGTTAATTTTCATTTCAGCAACATTTTATATTATTCATAATTATTTTAAGATTCTTAATTTTTATTACAGCATACTTCCAGGGAACACAAAGGAAAACTCACACTTGATGCTTTGCTCATTATGCCTGTTCAACGAATACCACGCTATGAGCTCCTTATTAAGGTAAAAATTTTACCACATTAATTTTTTTAATAAAATGTGACTAGGAATATTTTACCACATTAATTTCTGTAGTAAAATATGACTTTTATAAGTATATATTTCTCCTGGTATGTTGTGAGATATTTTTCTCATTAAAAATCACATATTTAATTCCTTAGTCTTTTGTAAAATATATATTTATTTATAATGGGATAACATATTCCTTCAGCATTTGTTTTAATACATTTAAAGTGTTATGTAATAAAGTCTCTTTATTTATTTATATAGAAAAAATGTAACTTTTTATGTACTTTTGTAAATACTACAGAAAAACACATACATATTTCATGGTACTGCAAATAAAAAACATAATGATTCATTATACAGGCAAAAGTCGTTAATTCGGACACCCATAATCCGGAATGATCTATAATCCGGACCTCAAAGCTACAAACTTTCTGCGCATGCGTCGAATTGACGTTTGACATAGGTGTTTATGTGTGCGCGTAAGACTTTCACGGCTGTGAATGTGCGTGTGCGCATGCGCGTTTAATGTATAACGGACGGTATAAGCTAAGCTAAAATTATCTAATTCAGTTAATGTTGCAGATTGCTTTGTTCCTTAGTCTTTGAATTGGATCCAGCTTATTATTTTTTGCAGACTTTTAGAGCAATTTTATAAAAGTAAGCTTGAACTTTCGATTATATCAAATAGAATTTCCGATATATATTTGCTAATATGTAAAGGATCTAAAGTGAAAGTATGTTTCGAAATCCGAAATCTGTTCATCAATTTCACGCTGCTCGGGGGGGGGGACGCTGCAGCGTGCAATTAATTGCAAGTTGATCTGTCAGCACTATCCTTATCTTCAGGGCAGATGTTTTTATTTTATTTGGCTTATAATTCCTTACCAAATGTAGTATTTCATCTCGATATGCTCCGTCTTTGATATGATTTAAAACAAGTTCCCCGTTATTATAATTCGCTTCCGATAGTAAAGAAAGAGACAGAGAGGTTATTGAAAATGAAAAAATTTCGATTGACAAATTAGTCGGTATTCTCGACACAGCAATTATAGGACTTGAACAGCGGAACTTTGTAACTAAACAAGAAATTATGTCTGTTTAACAGAATTAAAGAGAAAATATTATCACATGAAACGAAGCAACTTAAACAACTTACATTGAAAGAAATGTTTAATAAAGTAAACAAATAAATATTAAGCTTTTTCTTTTTGTAAATTTTGATACCTTTTAGATCATAATTGTTCTTTATTTCATAAATTACGGTTTCATATTTTTAATTTTGTAATTTCTGCATGCCATCTTACCAGATTTAAACTGATGATGTATAATCCGGAAAAATCGATAATCCAGAATCGCCGAAGTCCCGACGAGTCCGGATTAACGACTTTTGACTGTATGACCTAGCAATCTGTGCAGTGTCATCACTGTCCTTTCATTTTGTTTTAATAATTATAACATACTGGTTTCAGTGTAAAATTAATATGTGCGTGTGTATATACATCTTTAGAAAAAGTTCAAAAAAGAAAATGTATTCTATAAAAAGTGTTGTGGCATTTACACTATTTGTAACAGGATTTATAGTAAATTTAATGAATCATGGTCATGTATGTTGCTTCTGAATTAAAATTCCTTGTTGGTTACTTTTTACATTAGCATTCATATCACTGGAGTTATCATAGTCTTGCTCACAGTAAATTTTGTAAAACTAATGATAAAGCTCCTAAAATTTGTTATGTATCACATGATGTATTCTTTTATAATATTCTATATTTTTATAAATCCCCAAAAGTATATGTGTATATATATATGTATGTGTGTGTGTGCGTGTGTGATATTTTAATGTGCTACTTGAAAACTACATAGTTTGTGCTGCTTGAAAACTACATAGTTTAACATCATGGCTGAGGGTGAAGGCATATGAAGACTAACAAAATTTAATTTGAAGAATCACCATCTTTTTTTTTTTTTTTTTTTTTACACACATCTTTCTTTGTAGACAATAAATTTTTTATCATAATTGAATACAATAATTTTTATGTACACAGATTAGAAAAGTATGGCATCATCTTAGAAAAGTAAGCCTAGCAGTGCAGATATGTTTGCAAGGCAGAAGTTAAGAAAAGGAAGTGACGTATTTGCTCACAAAGCAGTATTTATACTAACAGCTAAGCTGCGATTGGTTAATTTTAGGTGTTTGTTCTGTTTTCAAGCAATTTTATGCAATTTAGAAAGATCTCGAACTTCGGAGAAAAGATAAACTTAGGGAGAGAACATATAAAGTCAATTTTGAGGTTGCCAATCATTTCTTAGTGCAATCATTGTATTTTATTATGTCTTAGGATTTACTTGCGATGGAAACCCTAATGGATACTGTGCACACATATACTGAATGGTGTTTTCTATGTTTTCACTAAAATCTGTCAAGGTTGACCTCTTCACTATGATCAGTGAAAAATCTTAGTGATGACATCTGCTGAAAGCTGCTAATGGGGTGTTTATGGGTATTGTTGATAGCAACTGGTAGTTGTGTACTGTATATTAATTCATAAAAGTCAAGTTGAGAAACTTAACAACATTTATTTTCTTTCAAGCACAATAATGCCGCTTAAACGGGAAAAGAGTGAGTAAGGAACAATTAACAATTGACTACCGCTTTGTTCGGGCAGAGGAATGGAGACTCGGTGTGGACCAAGTGCATCCCTATCACTTACTGATTAGTACTGGACTCTCGCCACTGACCTTATGTGGCGCTGCAAACTTTAAGCTTGTACAAATACATAGAAATATTCTAACCGAGATGGAACTGGTATCATCGAATATTCGAATATGGTGCTTCAATTTTTTTTTTCAAAGTGGTTTAGTGTCATGATTAGTGCAAATTACTCAGTAAAAGTGTGTCATGGTAAGTGCAGAGTTTTTTAAAAGTGTTTCAGTGCTTCATTCTGCAAATTCTTCAGAAAGTTATTTTTAAAAGTGTCTTTTTGGTGTTTCTAGAAAAGTGTGCTTTCAGTGGTGATTATTGCAAATTCTTCAGAAAAAGTGTGATTCAGTGGTGATTATTGCAAATTCTTCAGAAAGTAAAAAGAAAATTTCTCATTGGTGTGTTAGTGTTTCGGCATGGAAACCAGATCACAATCAAAAATAGCTACCGAAAAATCTGAAATTGCTACCGTGAGCATGGACAAATTTCAGTGTGGTGTTTAATGGTCAAAGCTCGGATATTCCAGCAGATAAATATTTTTATTGTTTGAAAAAGAGTGTGAGAGTAAAAATATTAATGATAAAGACAAACCTTTAGTGTTTTCAGAAATGTTTATGGGGTGAAGCTTCAGCATTTTATATTCGCGAATGTGTAGACTTGGATTGGAAAGTTCTTAAAGATAAATTTCTTACTTATTTTTCAAGTGTAGAAAATGTAACATTAAATGCTAGAAAACTGTGACGTTAAATGTTACAGTTTTAATCTATTACTTATTCTAAGTTTAACGATATTGATAAATATTTTGACAAAAACTGAGATTTGTATTGAGTCTAAAACTAAGCAACAAAACTTTAATTTAAGCTTTAAATCAGGGACTACCAGAGCAACAAACAATGTTGTTAACTGTGCATAATATTACTTCGTTGCAAGAATGGATAGCAGTAGCACGTAAGTTAACTTCCTACTTCAAGCTCACTGGGAGAGTACAGAATACACCAGAATTTGTAGCTCCTAGGCAAAACTTACTGTAAAATTTTGACCAGCCTAGATATCGTATTCCTAGGCAGTATGTGCCTCAGAATCATTCCTGGAGGAATTTCCAGTCACAACAAGTGGCCTATCCATATCAGGCATTTCTTTCTTTAACTAATCATAATGAATCTCCGCAAAAAACTGCACCTAAGAAATGAAAGTATTTTTATAGATTTTGATTTATTCAAAATGATTGTCATAGATTAGCATTTGAATAATTTAAAATCTGTGCCAAGAATTTTCTAGTATTGGCAATTTTTGAAATTATTCCATTTTTCTGTTTCTTTAATGTTGTATTTTATATATATATAATTATATTAACAACCTATTTTCAGGAGCTCCTTAAACACACTCCTATGGATCACCCTGATTACAAATTATTATTGCAAGCTCAAAAAGAAGTTCACGATTTGGCAATTAAAATTAATAAAGTTGAAAGAGAAGCTTTGCTGCAAGAACAGACAATACAAAAGCTTAAGGAAGTTGAACAGCTAATAGAAGGTGTTGCAGATGTAAGAAATAGTTTTCTATCTATGCAGATTAAAAAAAAAAAAAAAAAAATCATTAAGTGTTTATCTTCTCTGAAATACTACTATTTGCCTTTAGCCACTTCTCAGCTCAATAAATAAAATAAATAAAAGCCTTAAAAAATTCTTTATTTTTGTTTCAGAAACTGAAAAAAAAAAAAAGTGCATTTTTTAGTATGGTGCATTTAGGCGGGGAGTGCACTTTTTTTTTTTTTTTTTTTGTAAGTGCATTTTTTAGGCAAAATATGCCTGGGGACAACTAAAGATTTTGTGCCTCCCTCTTGCTTGCTAAGAATGGAAAATATTTAATTCTAAAATTTTGTCATATCAGTTTGGCTCCCTCTAGATGCTGCTCCCAGGGACAGATGTCCCCCCTTGTCCCCTCTAGCTATGGCCTTGAATACCAATGCCAGTTGTGTACATATTTCAGCAAAATAATGACATCCCCATGTGGTGAATATCTTGAAGAAATATCTATATAGTGCCATACTATCTATATCCTTTGGTTGCCAGGCCTCCAAATCATTCCAAAATTGAACAGGTAGGAGATATATTAGATGCTGGTTGCAGCATCCTAATATATCCTGTTCTATCCCATCTTCAGAATTTACTTTCTTTCGTAAATTAGTAAAAATAATTAATTAGTAGAATACTGAAAGTCAAGAGCTGAAAAAAAATTGGTAAATATAACTTGATTTGTTATTTCATTTTGTGATTATGATTTAAGATATTTATATTTTAATACTTAGAATAGTATTTTCTGCCACTACATTTTACTTTTGCGTGTGAGTGTTTTGTAAGTCATTTCTTTACCATATAAATTATTCCTTTTTTTTAGCTGATACAGGGGGACCGAGTATTCATCAGACATGATTTTGTTCAAATTCCGGTGAGTATTACAATTTTTATGCCCTTTTCACTTCCTTGTATGAAGTAAAAAGGAAGTATTATAATCGTGAAAAGTTTCAGGCAGCATATTTCAACGAAAATATCCATTTTGACCGCAATTGAATGCAATTTAACAATGTTTTTGCATGACATCTGTACATAAGAACAGAATAAAAGACTTGTTTCCTCCCCAAAAATTATAAAACTGCTTTAAAATGAATTTTGAAGAGAATTTTTTGTGGTGTCTGTATGTATGTACGCACGTATGTATTTATCACACATAGCTCAAAACCGAGTAGCCTCAGAACGTTGAAATTTTGTATATAGGACTGCTATAACATGTTGATGTGCACCTCGTATTTTAGTTGCAATCAGCCGCACCAAATGTATATAAATATATTGATATATATATCCATTCTATTACCCGGCTCAGTGATCTCAGTTTCTATACTATTATATGATTGTAAATTGTGCATTTTTTGTTTTAAAAATGATTGAATTATGTTGTTCTTAGCTTATAGTTAAGGTTTTATGCCTTTAGGAAATCTGCAAGCAATATTTGTAAAATTAACAACAATTTAAAAGCTGTTTAAGTGCAATTAAACTTAATTTTTAAATAACATGGCGGACATGTTTGTTTACATTTGAAACAGCAGAATAGTAGATTTGTTGCCAATCTAGAGAGACTAAGCTTCACAACAACAAAGCTAATGCCTTTATTTATTATTGCGAATTAAATCATGCTTAATCCTTTCTGGAATTTTATCGAGAAAACAAGTGTTTAAGATTTACTTTGTAATTTTTAATACAGATATTTTGAGTTTTTATGTATTTTTGCCTTGTCGCAAAGTGAGAACTGAATTAATTGAATGAGAAATACTGAATCGTCTGTGAAAAATTGTTTCTTTTTTGTTTTGTTTGCTTAATTTCTTTTATACATCATTCTAGATGTATTATAGTATTTGAATAGAACATGTGGCAACGATTAGATAATTCTTCAAATGATATAACTTTTGTGCATTCTGAGTTATAATCTGAATGAAATATAACGCTGTCGACTGACTCATTAGATTTTTTTCATTATGTGTGGCTGGTGTTCATAATAAAATAAACAGACAAAAATATTCTGGAAAATGAATATTCTGGAATTCTTGAACACATAAAAAGGAGAGACCTTAAAATGTCTATGAACATATAATGTGCGTAATATCATTAATAAAATGTACTATTTTTATAAAAGTAAAGTTACATTAATATGCTTTGCTTAACTCTTTAATCACTGTGACCTTAAAAATTCCTCTACAAAGGCATCCTTGCTTTTAGATGGATAGCATTTATGCCCTTTGCCTTTGCTTATTTTTAAGTGCTATGAATTCATGTATGTGTTTACGTGCAGCCATTGATCAGACCTTAACATACAACCATTCAGTATATCTCTAAGCTCTTATATTCCTTCAATATTAACAATGTTTTTATGCCTATACTCATGGTAAAATAGTAAAACACCTACAGTACAAAGTCCGAGATCCAGATTCACAAGGACTTCAGCAAATTGGATTGTTTGTTTATTTGAATATGACACATGAGAGGGAACTGACTCATATTCACTTCTCAGTTTCCAAAATTTTTGGATTTTAGATACTTAATTTAAATCTACTAGATTTATGGCATGTGAAAATCGTGAAATTAAAAATGTGAAATAGTTGTTTGAAATAGTGAAACATTTAGGTATTTAAGAGAACCAAATTTTATAAAAGAAGCTTAGTGTTAACAAATATTTTATCTTAGATATATTTCAAGAAGAATTTTTTTTGAAATTTTCTTTTTACTTTTACAGTATTACTTTAGAAATTCTTTAAGTTCCATTATTCAAGTCCTGTAATTACTGTATCAAGGATTTCCACTAAATAGTCAATAGAAATCTTATCATTCTTAACAACCTTTTTGTCAATTTCTTTACCATCGGCAGCAATGTTTTCTGGATTTAAAAACCATCCATCAATTTCACTGTCCATTAATTGATTGATTATTAGGGCATTCCCATCCCAATAAAGATTTCAGTTATATTATCTTCATTTACTATTTCTTTGCATATTTCATGAATCAGAAAATTCTGCAGTTCTATTCAGTCAAAACTATGCCAATCAGCACTTTTTTTATTTGATGCATTTCCTGAGACATCGCTAGTTTGGTTTGGTTTCTTTCCTGATTTAGTTATGTGTTTCATTTGTTCATAATCCTTTTTTTTCTCTTAAACAGATTTTTATGATTTGTGATTTGCCAAGAAATGTAGTGGCTATCCTCTTTCCTAAAGGAAAAGATATTTTGCGCAAAGGAAGAGTGCTGAAAACCATTTCGTGAAATTAGACTGTGACTCAAAGCTGAAATGGCTGTATTTTCTATCATTTTAGCTTACTGCAGATTTCATTGCCCATTAATTTACTGATGACTGGAGCATCATCATAGCAGTAGACTTCAGTTATATCATTTTCATTTAGCATTTCTTCTTATATTTCAAATTTTACTTTTTACTTTTTGTGATAATATTCCAAAATGTTCAAATTGGAGATTATCATCAGAATACACAAAGTTTCGATAGTCATTGGATTTGAGGATGGAATAAAATGGAGATGTTATCTTTTACTAAAAACTTAGACAACAATTATAATAATAGACTGAACAAATTAATATGCTGAATTGAATCAGAAAGTTAAAGTAGAAAATAATTTTCAGTGCTAGCTGAGCTAAACTGAATTGCAATCTCATTTTTTTCCTCCTTTATTTCCTTTTATCCTAAGAGCATTCTGCTCTAATCACTTGAAGGCTGAAAAGGAAATCTTTTTCACTAGCCAGCAGCTATTTAAAGGTGAAACTACATGTAGGATGATTTAATACTATTGAAGTTAAGGATCTTTTGCGGCCACCCCCCCCAAACGAAATTAGCTAATCAAGGGGGGGAAAGATTATTATTATTATTATTTTCTAAAGCATAACGTTTTCCATTTCTATACTGAGCCCCATCCCCCCCCAAAAAAATATAGGAAGTATAGGTAATAAGATTGTTCCATCTATTAGATGCCTAGATTTTAGAAATTGTACTGTAATTGCAGTTACAGTTCCATTCAGTGTCAAAGGATTAGAAAGTTAAAAATATATAGATGATTGTAAACTCAGTAGATAGTGAATTATTCGAAATATTTAGGATTTCACATTGCTGTTGGTGAGGGCAAGAGGAAATTTTTTGTGGGTTTGTCTATATCGAATTACCTGCCAACTGAATTTGTTAAAGTAGCATAGTTTTTTTTAATGCACTCTCTTCATGTGAATAAAATATATAATTTTTAATGGCAGTAATATAAAATTCAATGAATGAGATGACTTTATTAAATGTCTTCCTGTTTAGTTTTTGTACAGTAAGTATCTAATAAGTTCTTTAGATGATCCTCCATAATTATGTGCAGTTTTATTCGCTGGTGGAAGTGATTATATCAGAGAACATGGTTATTGGTGATGTACAGTACCATTATTTATGTTTTGCGAAATACTGATTACTCTCTTAGGGAGGCAACCACTATGAAAGATTTTCAGTGTACTTTTCATTGAAAGTTTAATTCTGCCCAATACATATTTTATGGTAATAAATGAGTGGTCAGTAACACATGTTAATTAATGACAGAGAATTTAGTTGTGGGAAGATTAATGTTTTTAAAATTTTCATTATGTTCTAGTGAGATTACAATTTCATTTTCATTATGTAGTGAAGCTATGATAACAGTTTGATGAAAAAGGGCTTTCTGGAGTTACAATATTAATAAACTTGACCTCATAAAGCATGCTATTTATGACAGTAAATTTTATTTAAAAAAATTCTCTAAAAAATGTAATTTCACTCAGTTGTTAAAAATGGATTAGGTTACTTAATGAGTTAGGTTATTTGAATATGGCAAAGAACACAATAGCTAATAGTGTTGCGTTGAATTTACCTGAATATCATTTCATTCAGTCATTCTTACCTTTAAATTAAATCTGACTCCATTCTATAACTCTTGAAAAGAAGTATTTTAAATAAACAATTACATTTTCCTGCTTAAGAAAGCCAAAACTTTGTTTGCTTACACATTTAAGGAAATCAAAACATTATTCTAATCTTTCTTACTTTTGCCAAACTACAAAAACAAAAGCTGTCTAAAAAGGAACACAATAGTTGTTGAATATCGTTAACAAATATACATCAAGGAGCTCACAACAAATAGGGAATATAACTTGATTTAAATAGCAAATAAAACGTATATGTCTAAGGGAAAGCATGCGTGTTTGTGTATAAGTCTTCTGTGTGAAACTGCCTTTTATTCTGCCACATTACACATGGGTAATACCATGAACATCAACCATGCAGAAATCTCTTCACCTTGTTTTAAACCTGAGTCGAGCTACTAGTGTTCAGTGGTATCAACCACTCAGGCACTGGTAGATCCTTAATTAAAACAGACTTTAAAATATCAAGAACTTGGCATATTTTATTTAGCATATTACCTGGTATTTTATGCTAGCTTGAGTGAGTTAATATTTGAGAAAAATGTTTTAAAATACATTTTTGTGTATCTGTCTGCACTTGCAGTCCTATAATTAGTCTTTACAGTTCTAAAGATATTGAGTTATGACTTAATGCTCATCATTATTATTAAAGTTAGGAGATCATTTTTAATTTTTTTTTTATTTTTTTTATTATGAAATTTTACTTTACTGAGATTGTAAACTTCATAATGAATTAATATAATTTAATTTGCATTGAAAAAACAGCATTTAGCCCTTTTGATATTTAGGGTGGCCTTGGTATGAAGAAAGAAAGATGTGTTTTTCTTTTTTCTGATCTTTTGCTCATTTCAAGTATTAAGAAAAAAGGTGGAGCAATTAGGAAGACATCATTAGCTATGTAAGTATGCTTAAGAAAATTTACAAGCATTTTTATAGTGGAATAAATTCTTAAGTGTTGCATGGATTTGTACTTAATTGCAAAATTTGTTTTCAACTCTCCCTTTTATTTTAATTACTGTTATTATTTTTTCACTTGTGTGCCTTTAATGAAATTTTATTCAATTCATGTAGCAAATTTTAATAAAATTTTGTGCTTCTCTGCCTTTTATTGAAATCAATTTTAAAGTAATTAAAATATATTTTAAAACTTTAAAAGTAATTCAGAGAAAATATAAAAATAACATGCAAAGTATCTTAATATTCAGTTCTTTTTGTTGATCTTGTAATATATATGTTTAATTTACATCCTTATTAATAAAATATTGAACATAGTACATTTGACTGAGATATAACATATCATATGTTTTGCAATTAAATTTTATATTTAGTATTTTCTCATAAAACAAAATACTGAGAATGGATTTTATGCTATATGTACTGAACTGGGTCCATTCGTGAATTAAATTTATTCATGAAAAATCAAATCACAACGCATAACTATTGAATTATCTAAAAATATTTATTATTATAATAATGACTGAAACTGAAATGAATTTTTAATCTATAATTAATACAAATTGGTCTTCAAAAGTAATATCACAATTTCAGTATTCAGTGTTTAAATCCCAATGCAGAATTATTTATTTAGAAAAATCTTTTCTTCTGATATATTTTCATGTCACTTGCTTTCATGCAGTAGCAATCCCGCCCCCCACCTTTTTTAGTTTATTTTCATAATATTATAGTTCCAGTTCATCATCTAATATTAATTAAGATATAACTTTTCTAAATTTTATTAAGCTGGGAAAAGATTCTATAGAAGTCTAAATTGTTTGAAAAAATGGGAGCTATATTTTATTACTCACCTTTGTATAGTTAAAATTGCATTTTGTATTCTTTCGTAATAATGTAATGATAATGCCTTGTAGGTGGCATACATTTTTTTAAAGCTTAGCAGTAGTTTTTTAAATATTAAAATTTATAAACTTTCTGCATGAAAATTTGATTGACATGATTTGATTGATTAAATTTGCTATCTAATTCCATTTAACTTTTTCTCTTGCATATCAAATCAAAAATGCTTGAAATCTTAAGAATATTTTGTTGCTATATTTGAAAGATATCTATAGCTGTCTGTACTTTCTACATAGGGGTTCTTCAACTAGTGGGTCTTTAGAATCCAACAAATACAAACTTCTCATGAAAACTCCATTGCACAATGTAGATATTGTAAAAAGTAAGTTCATTTTAGAACTTTCATGATGGTTGCTCTTTAAAATGTTTTCAGTATTTCCAGAATTCTATTTTTCTAAAAGCTTTTTTATATGTTGTTATTTGGATTTTAATTTAATATTTGAAAGATATTTTTTTATCTAAAATAGGAAAGAAAAGTTAGATTTAAATGGAAAAATCTATATATATATTGGCATGTATTTAATCTTTCAATTCACAGATCATTGATGCAATTCAGAAATTCTACTTCTGTTAAATAATTTTGAGTAGAGATTAAAATATAACATATTATAGTTGAAGCTGTTGAGTGAAATGAATTATTACATATTATTGAAATCCAGAGGAAAATCAAAGCAAAAAGAGTATTATTGCCATTAAAAGGTATCATAATATAAGACATATTTTTTTTCTGATAAGATGCTGATAAGAAGCATCCTTTTATGATTTGGAATTATGTAACATATATTTAGCAACATCACATATGGAAACTAGATAAGTTTAGCCACTCAAAAGGTGATGACATTTCTATAGTCTCTGCATTTATTTATCATCAAAAGACAAGTTAGTAAGTAAAATAGGGCTATAACTTCTGTATGCTGTTTTATCGTATTTTTTTCGTCTAGTAAGTAATGAAAAATTTTTTGTTAAAAAAAATACTTCATGTTTGAGAAATTGAATGATTTTTAATGTTTTATAATTATGTTTTAATAAATACAGCTGCTTTTTGCACATAAGTGGCCCAACACTGTTCTTTTCTTCTTTTTTCTACCTCTTCTTCCCCTTCCCCCCCTAAAAAAGATTATAGTAGACCTCTGATTGACTGGGGTAATATTAGAGATGAGATCCATGGTTAATCTGACAATAGTTAAAAACACAGGAAAGAGAAGTAACCCATGTATTTTTAAGCTGTTTAATTTGGACATTAATTTAATTATGTTATGCAAATTTAAAAAGGATTCAAAATAAAAAGAACATACTTCGAAACACACACAGAAACGTTTTTGTTTATATAACTGCTGTACACTTACTTTATTTTTATTTTGATGTATGATTAAATGATATTTATATATTTCAGATTATGTATGGTTAAATTCCTAAATATTGTGACTCATCTTCTGTCACTGCTATTATCTTATACAGTTTCCTCTCATTTTGTATTTCATGCTGAAATACTACTTTATTCTGATAGTTTGTAATAGCAGATTTTCAATCATTCTACAATAAACAAACTTATCCTTTTTTTAAACCAGTAAATCTGCAGCCCATTTAATTGGGAGTTAAATGTAAAATACATAAGTATTTATATGGGTAAATATCCAGCAATTTTTAGGTTTTAGATTGTTATGTTAGAAGAGTAGGAAATGAAATCATACTTGTGAAAAGTATCTTAAAGTTATATATATCTTACTCATTTTAAAGGAATAACAGAATAAATTAAAGGTGCTAATTTCTTTAGAAAGAAACTAGAACGTTTTTAGAAATTCATTTTCTTAGAAATCCATGAATGGTAGAGAAAAGCTAAGATGAGCATAGTGCCATTTGTTGAGCAGAATAGAGGCGAAATGTAAATATACTAAACTATTAGAATTTTGAAAGTATCAGGAAGAACTGGATTTGACTTGATGTTATTAAATAAAGAAGATAAGTTTCTATTAATGAAAGTCTTAAAAGAAAACAATTCATCAATTGAAGAAGCTTGGTGGATAATTTTTACACAAAAAGTCATACGTTTACACGAGTTCATTTTTACACGAAAGTTAGAGTTATTGTCAAGTGTCCAAATGTGATTAACTATTGAGGATATTTTTATCTCATTTTTTAATGTAGGATTTGTGTTTCTCAATGGAAAATAAAAACATTCATTTGGTTTGGCTGATATTTACCAAAGCAGGGGTTGAAATATGTCAAAGTGATAGCAAACCCAATATGTTACCTGATATCTCTCAAACCAGAAGTGGTTTGAAATTTTGTATTAAGGAATCCAGAGTTACTTTTCAAGATACATCAAAATAAAATTGCTTTTTTAAAAAAAAATCTGGTTTTAAATTTTATATTGTTGTATTTGTTTTCCAATACATGTGCAAATAAAAACTGCTTGTTTTTAAGAGCTATTTCACTAATATTTTTGCTACTGGAGATAAGAATATTGCCAAACTAGAGATGAATTGAGACTTGCAATAGAATTTTCTGATAGTAATTTACAGTGCTTTAAAGTGGAATTATTTTATAGGTATAAAATCGAAGTGATGCAAAATTTACAGAGGTATTTTTTTAGGGAAGGCAGTCTTATTGATTTAGAAGAGTAATCACTTCTAATCAGGTTCCCTTGCAAAAGCTAATTTTTAGGAAGAAATTGCAAAGCAAAATTTGCTCATGTCATTTAAAAGTTCTATATTGGATAAAACAACACTTGTTTTTAATTTAAGAATTGGTCCCTTAAAATTAATAGTTAGTATTATTTCTGCCATTCCTAGTCTGATATAAAATTAATTTCTAATGTTCTGCATTTATTCTTAGTATTTAAACTGTTGTAATTAAATTACCTTATTTTGAGGAATTTTATAATTAGAAGTACCTGTATAGGATCATTATTTGAAAAATAAAGCCTGCAGCCACCTTTCTTGAGCACCCTGCAGAAATATTGCAAAATGAACAAGCCCTTCCTGTAAATACATAACTGTAAGACAAAAGGTTTGAAAAAATAGATTATATATCAGATATTGCATAAAATATTGAAATGGGTAAATGATAGATTTGAAAGAGCAAGCCATTCAAAAAAGAAATGCCTGACTGTAAGGTTGAAGGGAAAAGAAAATGACCTCTTTTAAAAGAAATTATTTTATTTGTTATAAAGAAATTACAACATTGTTATAAAATAATTGCATAATTTTCTTCCTTAAAATTAAAATAATTTCATGCTTAGAAGGAGGTGGGACATTTATTTATAAAACTGGAAACTTATTATCAAGTGTTTACTAAATGGGAAATTCACATTTAAAAATCTAACAATATATGCATATTTTAAAATCCTTTTAATATGCTAGTGTAATTTTTTAGTTTTGTGATATTTTAGATGGAATTTTTGTTACAAAAACATTTGGCATGTTTTAATTATTAATTATAAAATATTTTGAATTATTAGCAGAAATTGATGAGCCTTGTGTACAAAAATTTCTGAAAGAAGTTGCAACTTTGGAGAATGATATTGCAACTTTAGGAAAAATTAGTGATATGGTCTCAACTCTCTCTTGTCAACATCAAGTAAGTTATGCATTGATTGATGGGTTTTGATATTTATTGAATTTTGAAAATACAGGGTGAGCAAAAAGCCTTTCTCTGATTAAAATTGTATTGCAGAAAAACTATTATAAATAGACATTTGTGGGTTTTTTTTTTTTTTTTTTTTTTTTTTTTTTTTCAGCATAGCAAATGCAGTAATTAAGTTACTTTATGAATAATACTGCAACCCTCAGGGGGCTCACTTTTGTGAGTACGGATGTGGCAATCCCGAGGTACCCTAGCCCTTCAGGGGATCATCTTCTTGGTGAGACAGGTGTCACGATCCTGGAGCCCCAGTGATCCGTCTCCTCTCCTCTTAACTGGAACTTTTTCCCTTCCCTTCTCCCTTGTGGTTTCTCTCTACGGAGTTTGGGGCTCGTCACGAGAAACTGGAACAGACCCTTGCTCTAGTTTTCGAGTGGCGAGAAAACTGCCCACGTGTTTGCCGTGCGTGGAGACCCGTGTCGCTGGAAAGGAGGGTCCTGGTAGTTGAGGGGCGAGGTACTGTCCCCAACACACTGCTTTGGCCTCTGCTTCAGCTAAACGGGAGGCACCTTAGTCGTCCTCACGGGTGTCAATCGGCTGGTCACTAGTCCTTGTGTCAGTGGCTTGGGGTCAAGCTCTCGGGAGTACCTGCTTTCGGGAAAGCCGACTGTGGGGCTTCAGTTTGCGTATAGGTCCGGCTAGCCCTAACACAGGAATCTGTGTTCCCTTGTTGGGCTCCGTGGTGGGCGGGGCCGTCGGACCCGAATCTTATATTTTCAATCATGGCTTCCTTATTTATTTTAAAAAAACCTGAATCAAATCGACACGAATAAAGATATTGAAATCATTGACAAATCTGTGAGCAAGAAAATTCGTACCGATGCAAATGCCAAAGAAACTACTGAATGTCCTCGCTTTGTTGTTGTTACCAGTGCCTCTGGAAGAATTTAAAAAGATGTCTCCTTTCCTGATAAACAAATACATATCATTCCTGCATAGGTGAGCCAAGGAACATAAAGCGTCTCCGTTCGGGAGACCTGCTTATTGATACCTTTTCGGCCACCCAGTCTGCTTCACTTTTACGACAAACCAAACTTGGACAGGTATCTATAACTGCGTCAGCGCACAAAACACTTAATTTCTGTAGAGGCGTGATCTCGGAAATCGACCTTCTGTGTGTTTTTTAGAAGAAGAGTTCGTCTCCGAGTTAGCTGACCAAAAGGTTTGTGCTGCTAAGCGGATCAAGATGCGTAAGGAAGGTCAGTTGATTGACACCAAACACGTGATCCTGACCTTCAATTCGCCTGATCTGCCTAAGAATATTAAGGCTGGATATTTAAATTGCCCCGTAAGACCTTATATTCCAAACCCTCATGCGATGCTTCCAGTGCCAGCGTTTTGGCCATTCTAAGATGTCCTGTCGTGGCACCCTGACATGCGCCTCGATGCTCACGGTTGGCCACGATTCAGCAAAATTGTACCGCTGCAGCACTTGTATATTAATTGCAAGGGCAACCACCCAGCATTTTCCCGTTCCTGTCCAAAATGGAAATTAGAAAAAGGAAGTTCAGACCATAAAAGTTTCTAGGAAACATTTCCTATGCCGAAGCCAGAAGACAAGTTCAAAGCACACAGCCTCAATCAAACAAATCATATGCCAATGCCGGCGCCGTTAAAATCAACACGCACTATAGCCACCCAAACTTCCATAAGTACACAGACTCCACCAAATAAAACCCAGCAGCCTGCAAACAAGAAAAAGGAAAATCCAACCCATGTCATACAAAATAAAGAAATAACAATCCTTGAGCAAAACCCAAAAACTGCGCCTCCAAAAATAGAATCCAAAATAGAAGCCAGATCTGCAGATGACATGATTTCTGAATCTGCTAGATTCAGACGGTATGGAAGTGGAGGAGGGTTATGGAAGTTCCCGAGCATCTACTTCCACGCAAAACTAAAAAGAACACAGAAAGAACAAAACACCAGTCATAATGGCCACCCTCGTCTCATGGAACTGTCGCGGTTTCCACCGAAATTTGCTTGACATCAAAGCTATAATCAATGCTTTATCATCCTGTATGCTTCGCAATACAAGGAAACAAATCTGAAACCAGAACAACATGCAAAACTTCGGAGGTTTTCTCTCGTCAGGAAGGATAACCTTGCAGGTGAGCGTGCCAGTGGAGGTGTAGGTCTCCTCACCTCACTGGATTATCCCTCAAAGTTCCTTTCCTTTGACGACATCCCTCCAAGTTGTCGCTACTACAAGTAAATTTTGATATTGTTGTTTCAGTCGTCATTTCTCTGTATTTGCCTCCAAATGAGCACATTGATCAGCAAGATTTAAATGGTCTTTTAGAGCAGCTGCCTGAGCCTTTCATCATAATAGGAGATTTTAACGGCCATAGTCCGCTCTGGGGTAGTAAAGATACAAATTGCCATGGAAGACAAATTGAGCAGATGATCGAAGATCATAGCCTTTGTCTCCTGAATAATGGGCAAAATACTTACTTCCATGAGCCTTCAAGGACATTCCACGCTCTCGACCTTGCCATCTGTTCACCATCTCTGCTGCCATTTTGCACTTTTAGTGTGGGAAATGATCTTTACAACAGCGATCACTATCCCATTTTTATATCTCTTGCACGAAGAGGAGCAAACCCCATGTCGAGTCTCCCTCGGTTTATACTGGACAGGGCAGACTGGGAACTCTTCTCTTCCTCCGCAGAGCTCACAGAGGAAATGGTAGAAGATGTGCATATCGATGACGCTGTTGAAGCTGTTACTAATACTATTATTCAGGCAGCTATGCTTTCGATTCCTAGAACATCAGGAAAAATGCTTAAATATACGAAACCATGGTGGAATCGCGACTGTCATGAAGCACTGAAAAAACAGAAAAAAGCATGGGGTATTTTTCGTAGATATCCTACTCTGCGAAACCTCATAGCCTTTAAAAGAGCCAAAGCAAATGCACGGAAAGTAAGAAGGCAGAGCCAGAGGGATTCCTGGATTTCATATGTGTCGTCAATAACATCCTCCACGCCTAGTAAGCGGGTTTGGGAAAGAGTTCGAAAAGCATGCGGCATATATAAAGACCACTCACTTTCCTTTTTGGAAAAAGATGGCCGAGTGATTAGCTCCATAGAAGAAATTGCGAATACTATTGGTGAGACATTTGCTGCCGTTTCTTCCAGCAGAAACTATTCACCTGCATTTCTCTCTATGAAGCAGCACTCTGAAATAAATCCCATCGCATTCAACTCTTCCAAATCTGAGCCTTACAATAGAGACTTTACTATGCTTGAATTAAGGAGTGCTTTATTGCAGACACATAGGTCTTCTCCGGGTCTTGATGGCGTGAATTACGAAATGCTAAAGCATCTGTCCTATAAGTCACTGAATGCCCTTCTCACTCTTTACAATAGAGTGTGGAAGGAGCGTACCTTTCCCAGTGCATGGAGGAGAGCTGTTGTCATTCCTATTGCTAAGCCAGGGAAAGATCCAAGGAATCCCTCCAACTATCGGCCAATTGCCCTTACGAGTTGCCTATGCAAACTGTTTGAAAAGATGGTAAACAGCCGCCTAGTCTACTTCTTGGAAAAGAATAATATTATATCGCCTTATCAAAGCGGTTTTCGAAAGAGAAGAACAACCGTAGATAATATGCTCCTTTTAGAGACATCTATTCGAAAAGCTTTTGTCAAAAGAAGTCACCGAATAGATGTCACCTTGTCTCAATATTCTTTGACATTGAGAAAGCTTATGATAAGGCATGGAGATACGGTATACTTCGCGATCTCCACGAGAGTGGCTTGCGCGGCAACCTACCAATTTTTATTCAGAATTTCTTGTACAATAGAACTTTTCAAGTAAGAATTGGCTCTGTTTTGTCAGATGTTTTTGAACAGGAAGAGGGTGTGCCTCAAGGCTGTGTGCTTAGTGTAACGCTGTTTCAGTTTAAAAATAAACTCTGTACTAAAAGAACTTCCTCCACCATCTTGGGATCTCTATATGTAGATGATTTACAGATTAGCTGTCGAGGGGCAGACATGAGATACATAGAGAGGCAATTGCAGATGGCTCTGAATAAGATCCAAGAATGGTCAACAAACAGGGATTTACTTTTTCAAAACAGAAAACTGTGTGCGTGCACTTTTGTAGGAAGCGTGGTCTCCATCCTGAACCTGAGTTATATCTGAATGGTACAATTATTCCAGTTGCGCCTGAAGTAAAATTTTTAGGAGTGACGTTCGACCGAAAATTGACTTTCCTTTCTCATGTTTTAAACCTGAGAAAGAAGTGTCTAAAAACACTAAATATTTTAAAAGTGTTGGCGAACACCTCCTGGGGTGCAGAGCGTTGCTCCATGCTTCGCATTTATAGAGCGCTTATCCGCTCTAGACTGGACTATGGCTCAGTTGTTTATGGATCCGCTCGCTCATCTGTTTTGTTAAAACTGGATCCTGTTCACCATCAAGCTCTGCGGATTTGTTCAGGAGCTTTCAGGACTTCTCCTGTCCAGAGCCTATATGTTGACTCTAACGAACCATCACTTTATCTGAGGCGTGAGCAATTGTCCCTTTTGCAATATTTTAATATTCTATCTCAACCTGAACATCCTAATAAGCTATGCTTACTTGATAATGAGTGTAATACATTATTTGAAACACGTCCCTCCTGTATTCCTACCTTTTCTTTAAGAGTTCGCCCTATCATTGAGGAACATTCCCTCTCTGATATGCTCCCCCAAGCAGTACAGAATTTTGAATTCCCACCTTGGGAAAATGCACGGATTCAGCTTCTTGATGTTTCAAGCATCACGTCAAGGCAAGCACCAATGACATCATTTATAGACAAATCTTCGCTGAGCACAGGCACAAATATAGCAGTTATCTTCCAGTTTATACAGATGGATCCAAGTCAAAAGATCATGTCGGGATGGCATTTGTAATTGAAGACCACATGGAGGGCAGACGCTTGCACCATGCCTTCTCTGTCTTAACATCTGAATTAACTGCAATATATTATTGTCTTTTGTACATCTCAAGGCTCTGCCACAAAAAGTTTATAGTTTATACAGACTCCTATAGTGCACTGAAATCATTAGAAGCTTTTTCTAACACTCCAAACCCAGTCATAGTGGATGTTCTCAAGATACATATAAACCTAACGAGTTGTGGATATAAAATCCTGTACTGCTGGGTTCCCGGACATGTGGGAATTAAAGGGAATGAGCTGGCAGATATCACAGCGAAATGTGCTGTTGAACTGTCCAGTCGCCTCATCCCTTTTGGAGACATCTGTTGTGTTGTGAAAGAGAAGATACGAAAAAAATGGCAGCAATTTTGGGATGTTCAGCGTCAAAACAAGTTAAGAACATGTAAAGCCTAGAATTGAGCATTGGGATTTTGCTGGAAATCGTAAAGAAGAAGTTCTTTTGACTCGCCTCAGAATTGGTCACACAAGAGTGACACATGGCTACCTTTTAAAAGCAGAGAATGAGCCTGTTTGTTCAAATTGTAATGTTTGTCTATCTGTCCGTCATATTTTAATTGAGTGTCCATATTTTAATAATCTTCGTCAGAAGTATTTTAATAGCTGTGACTTACCTCTCGACCGTTTAATCAGAAGGGAGGTGAATTGTAATTTATTTTATTATTTAAAAGAGACTGGCTTTTATCACCTAATGTAATTTGTTTTGAAAATTGTGTCTTGAATTTTAAATGTGTGGTTTTAACTTGTTTTTATATGACTTCATCCTCTGGATTTGATACATTTGTCTACTTGTTTTTATTTATTGTATTTTAATTTCATCAATTGTACTTACCCCATCTTGCGTTTGGCGCAGTATAATCAACTTTGGTTTTGCGCCATAATCTCTCACTCACTCACTCACGAATAATACTGCATTAACGAATAATACTGCATTAACGAATTTTAATGTGTGCCCCTTTTATAGCTTAGAAACTGACAGATTAGTATTCCATTTCTCACCACATGTTTTTCAACTATAAGTCTGGGACACTTGACACAGTCTGTCTTATTTTGGCTCTCAAAATATCAGTATCATGAACTGATGTTAGAAGGACTCATTGCATGATCCTCTGTCTAATTCATGACAGAGTCAAGAAAAAAAATTTACCATTTTCTGTGATTGTTTTTATATAAAATTTTGTAACCAGGGAAACATTTTGCTCACCTTGTACTTTTTCATATTTTTTTCATAATTTACTTTTTAATACATTTTCTCAGTTATTATCTGTAAGTAGATTATGAATTAGTAAGTGTAAATTTTTTCTTTCATTTCTATTACAGTATCATTAATTTAGAATATTTCACCATTAAAGAGTATGTATTAAAACTATGGATACAAATACATGATAACATTGATAGATGCTGATTAAATAAATAGTATTAATTTGCTGTAGTAAATTACTTGTATCCCCAGGCTAGGCAATCTTGACTCAGCCTTTCCTTCCTTAAGTGGATCGACGAAATGAATACTAAGTTCACTTGGGAACTAAACACCAGGGGTCCTGTGACAAGCTGACCACTTGATCAAGACATATGCTCGTGCACCCTGGGGCCCACGGTCAGGAAAGTAGATATCAGAGCACTGCAAAAATGGCTCACTAGGGCTGCTGCGCCACTGAGTTTAGTTTAGTGTAATCTGGGAAGAATATTATTGTTAATAGGAACAGAGATCAGAAGTATATTTCTAATGTTAAAATTTTCTTTAAAATATGGTTCCCTCTAGAATTTTATAAATATATTTTTTATTTGAAAATATATAGTCATTTAGTTATTTTCCTGTATTTATAATCCTCTTTCACTAGAATTTTGTTTCACCATTTTATGTTGATTTACAATGTTGTGTATGACCCAACAGTCCAAATATTCATACATGATGTATATTTTTTTACTTAACAGGGCAGATTGATGTGTGTTTCATGAAGCAGCTTGTTTTTCGTTTCCACATTAAAGTCATTAATTACAGAAAATTATAAAAACAAAAATTACTCAATAAGTAATTACTTTACAGATGATATTGATGATGATGTCATGAATGTTCATAACTGGACATTCATGACATTCTTGTAATAGCCTGTTTTTAAATCCCTCCAGAAGTGTACTTTTGTGTTTGATACCCTTCCATGACTATAAATTTCATACATGATCTGCTATCTTTTTACTGAACAGGATAGATGGAAGTTTGTTTCATCAAGAACAGATGAAAGTTGTTGAGGCAACTTTTTTTTTATTATTTCTATATTAAAGTGACTAATTGTAAAAAAAGTGTTAAAAATAAAAATTATTCAATAATTAATTGCTTGAAAGAGGATAACAGTATCACTGAACATTCATGACATCCTTTTAAAAGCCTGTTTTAAAATCCTTATAAATTTGTGATTGTTGTATTTGACACCATTCATGAAAAGAGTAATATGTTTTGACAGAGTTCTAGATAGGTTGTGCATCCATAGTAAACAGTACTAGAATTCCTGAACATTTCTGTCATAGCTAACAAAAAGGATTGAATAACATTTTTTTCTCAGAAATTTATCCAAATGTTGTGCAAATAACAAATATACATATATTTTTTTTGTTTTTATATTTTTATTTTTCTAATAGATTTTAGTTCCCCCCCCATTATGTGCATGTGTGGACTGCATAAGAGATTGGAAATATTGATTGATACGTGTATTAAAATGTCTAATTTCTTATCTCTAAACATTTTTAGGCCTTGGAGGATGTTGTTAAAGATATGCTTATGAATCTAAACCGGCAACTTGCAGAAAAACAAGCTTCTAGCTCTCAACTTCTCAGTTTAGAGCTTTCTATTATTATAAAGTATGTTTTAACTCTATTTCATGTAGCTTTCTATATTTCATGTAGCAAATTACTGCTTTCTTTGTTAATTACAGAAATATAAAATATAGTTGTTGAAAGCAAGTTCTTTTTTACATATTAATGAAAATTAAATCTTTTTTTCCCCACGAAAAGTAATGATTTAGAATATTTATTAAAAAAATAGTAATTTTGACAAAATCAATTTTTCACAGCTTGAAATTAAATTACAAAATTTGAAGGTTCAGAATTATTAAAAAAACCTAATATGCATATTAAATTTCAGCATTTAATTTTTACTGGTATAAGTATATAGTATAAGATATAAGATTTTTAGTATAAGATTCAGTAGATAGTATAAGATTTTTTATCATAACTCTATATTATTACAAGCACTGTTAATCTAGCAGGAAATAAAAATTTAGAAATTTTAAAGCAAATTCTAAAAATAGGAAAATGGAGTTAAAAAAAAATTAAAGTAAGGCAAAAGCCAGTCTTATATTGATGTGGTTTTATAGAAAAATCTATCGATTTCAAAGATTCAGCAAGTGATATTTCTGATCTTCAAAGTGCAAAAGTATTCATTCAGTGATTTTGCTTCTTGAAAAAGTTGCTTGACTTTCTCAAAATCCAGTTCTCTAAAATTATTTTGCAAAATACTTGCATTACAGGAAGAAAGGTGACGTTATTTCCTGACTTCCATAAAGTCAACAAATAGTCTTCTAAAAAACCATTGCAAACATAAAGTTGATTTTGCCTAATTTTATATTTAACATTGGAATGTGACTTTTGTGTATAGCAAAAAACAAAGAAAGTAAGCTTTTTTAACTAATTTCTGACAATCATTACAAGAATATAAAGGATTAATGTTACAAGAATAGAAGAATCACAATAATATTTAATGTTCAAGAATAGAATATTTAATGCACTGTGAAATTTTTTACATAGCTACTCGTGCATTATATTCTTTATAATGCATACACTTCTTTTATATAGTTTATTTCCATTTTATTTATGATTCTTCATAATATATTTTATTTATTTTTATTATTTATTTAGAAACTTATAGACTTTTTTTTATTATCAAAATTGATGTGGAGAGGCGACTTCATCTACGAAGTTCTTTTCCCTATTAGGCGGCTTCTTGTGAATTGTTGTACAGCTGCCTTGGCGGCTAACAAATTAATTTAAAAATAGATCATATGCCATACTTTATAGTAAGGTTATTGTTTTATATTATAGAATGGGACTGAATTATTTTTTCCCAGTCTCTCTCATTTTATTGATTTTGCCATAATGTAATACATATTTCACAACATAATTTTGGATATTTGAGGAAAGACCAGTTCCATATTTTATTAAAATGCACAAATAATTGTTTTGAATTTAATGTCACTATGAATGCTGCCTTTTAAAGTTCATATGTAGCATGCATCTTTTAATATGTCATAAATTTTTCTTCATTTCTTTTTAATTATTTTAAACATAGTCCATTTCAAAATTTATTTTTAGTGAAGAAATAGAGAATATCACATTGATATTTTCTAACCCAGAGCAAAGAATGGTATGGCAAAATGCCTTTTTAGAAGCCAAAGAAAAATTAGGTATGTTTTGTGGTCTAGATGATTTCATAAAATATCTGAAAATGTGATTCTAGAAAATTTCTGAAAGTGTCAGTTTTCTTATTTAGTTATACTAACATGCTGAAATCAGTTATTTTAAGCTGTATTTTACTTTCTAGTCCTTATTTGAGTGTGAATGGAATTCTAGGCTTCATTGTGATTAGTGAATATTTTAATAATCTGATGCAATTTTTTTATCATTATTTTCAGTCTTATTTTAATTGATTTTTTATATTTAGCTAATTTGTTAGTAAATGCAGTCTTTAATTCTTTATTAATATCAATTATTAAAATAATTATGACGTTTGTATTATATTTTACTAATTTTATCTGCAAAAAATCATAATTTATGAATTCATTTATGAATTTTAGATAAATATAGTGAAAAAATTAGCCCGCCAGAATTCCTTTGCTCCTTACCAATGAGAAAAACCAGAGCTGGTCTTCAAGTAAGGCTTGAAAAAGAAGTTTCATTTCTTATAAAATTTAGAATTTCTACGTGAAACTGAAATTTTTATATTTGAAATTATTGATTTTTTTAGCATGTGAGTGCATAAGTGTGTACGTGTGTGTGAACTTTTAATAATGTAGCAAAGTATATAAAAATATTGAAGTTTTGCTACAAAAATATTGTTTTTATTGTGTTTTTTAATATGCATTTAAGCAATAATTTATGTATCAAGATTTAATTGAGTGAGTTAGAAGTTTCTTTTAAAGTTTTATCAACTGTTTATAAAATTACATATTATTAGATATTAATTTGGTATATTTAAAATGTGTTTTTATTTCATTTAGATTCGAAGTCTGGTTATTAAAAATAAGATGTTCAAACACTTCTAATCTTAATTAACTAAGTGATGTTTAAGTAACACATGCACAACTTAATTAATTAAGGGATGTTTAAGTAACACACAAATGCAGTGTCAGTTCTTTAGTACTATGAAAAATGTGAAATTTCTATATATCTTTATGGCTTTTATAAGATTTGTAAATTTGGCTAATAAAAGAAAAAAATGTACTTAAATTTGTAAAATTTATTTTATTGAGTTTTTAATGATAAAATAGTCAGAAAGGAGCAATAATATATAATTATATAACTAAGCAGAGTATTGAATAATGACTTGTTGAATTTAATGTTAAATCAACTACTAAACAGTAGTGCATATATATATATATAGCTGTGAAAAATGAACAATATTAAAGGTGCACAATTATATTAAGATGCAGGGAAAATGTTATCTCTGCATGTATATATTAACATTTATGTTCACTTTTTGCATACATCAGCCTTCCTGTGGCTGTACACCAAAACTGTTGAACATTGATAGTTCAAACCATGTTTCATATCTTAGTCAATGGGCTGGTTCTATGAGAGCTTTCATGGTTTTTTCCTGCATCTGACATTAAAATAAGCCACTTTCCCTAAAAGATCTTTGTAAAGCATCATCTCCTTAGAGTCATAGTTATATAGGTACTTTGCCATAATGTAAATAATATGTTGCTTGTATAAAATTTTATTGACGTACATACTGCTTTAGATTGGCAATATGAAAATTTGCATTAACTGCTTAAAATTTTTATCCAGATTACATGTGCTGCTGCAGTAGTCGATACTTGCCAAAGTGGATTACCTGATTTATGGATATGCAGTAGTGATGGCTATGTTGGACAAGTTTGTGTTCTTACATTTCAAAATGAGCCTGTTATAGCAACTTGTGCTAATGTTAGTAATGCTCGAATATTGTGTATAGCAGCTGTTCCTGGCATTAGCTCAGGGTATGCATTTATATTTTCATGAATTCATTTTCTTTTATCACAGGTAATATAACTGTTTTATATTATACAAAATGCAGTATTGTTTTAATTTCTTACGTAGAAAGGATTTTGTATTTGTTTTAAAGTCTTTTCAAACACCTGTTTATTGTATTTAATTTATTGTAATTTTAAAATGTATTCAGCATGGCATGAAGGTATGAAAACCAATTCAAAAGGCACACGAATGTTTCTGAAGTGAACTAATTGCCCTGGCACTAAATGTTAAAACACAATTATATCTATTTTACAATATGTAGCCCATCTTTGGAATATTAATGAATATACAGATATAAAGCTTTATTCTGAGAAAATTACCTAAATTGCTTATAATATAGATAGCTTAGTTTTGACATTAGCATCTGTTTATAATTGACATTAGCATCTGTTGAGCAGTTTATTTGGTTTTAAATTTTTGTGTTATCTGATATTTTTAAATGTATTCAATTTATTTTGAAATTATACATTCAAACCACTACACAAACTATACATATACTGTATAAAAGAAGCAAAAGATTCTTTTCAATTTTAGCTAAGATTTCCAAAATAATTTTCTTAATTTAGAAGTGTAGAAAGAGGAAATATTTATATATATCTGAAATTATAATGTGTCATAAGTTTAAAAAAATTTTTATATTTGTATTATTTAATCTTTATTTTTTGAAAAAATAATTTTGAATGCATTTTATTCTGTCATTTAGATCCTTATTTTTAAGGAGACGAAGTACACTTCTTCCATATTTGCCTGGTTTTAAATATGAAAAATTAGGAAAAGGGGAAAAGGATCCATTAAAAGGAAAAAGTTTTCCTTTAGATAGGTAAATAAATTTGTTTGAAGAGCAATTTTATTGAAAAGTATAAAAAATTTGCAGCAATAGCAAAATATATATAATTTTAAATATGTATCTAATATGCATAAAATTATAAAAAAAATATATTTTCAAATTCGTTAAATTTATGAATCCATATTTTTGCTGAAAATAAGAGTAAGTTGTATTTCATTGTAAACAACCTAAATTAGTCATATATGTTTAGCCTTACGAAGGAAAGTGAGCTAAGAATTAACCGCTTGCCTGATTATCCCGAGTTATCTCGGGTTCGTATATATTGCAGTTAATTATCATCCCGAGAAACTTGGGCAAAGCAGAATTTGTCAATACGATTTGTTTTATCACGGTTTTTCTCGGCCTGGTGGAAATGAAAGGAAATATTCAGCTTTTATTGGAAGTTCGCCAAGTTTTGTTGGTTTCGTGGTTCTTTTGGCGGGACTGGTCATGTGTTTTCCCTATTGTCTAGTATACGTTGGCTTGTGGATTAGTAATGTATAAAGAATGATAGTTGCTTTGAAAAAAGTAAAGTAATGGCGATGATGCAAGATAGCAAAAGCGATGATTTTTCCGATAGTGATTATAACCTCAAGGCATTTTCCAGATGTTATTCCTGCTACTGAAAAAAAATCAAATCCTACGAGACAGTGTTCTCTATGCTCCCGTAAAAGAGATTCTAGAGGTAAGCCAGTAAGAAAAGAGACCAGATACCAGTGTATAGAATGTGAGGTATCACTCCGTATTGCCCCTTGTTTAAAAAATTCTCATGCAACAACTAATATTGAATTTTTTTATGTGCCCGAGATAACTCGGGATAGTAAACTAATATTAAAACTAAATGCTCTTACACCTGTAAAAAAATAAAAATTCAACTTAAAACCTATATATTTGGTTTTGTTTTGTTTCCTTGTATTTAATAATAAAATAAAAATATGTGATGATCTTTTGCATTTTTTTTTCAAAAAAAGTGTGTAAGGGAAGTGGTTAAATCTTTAAATAGATTTTATATTGCTCAGTATAATAATGGATTTTTTTCATTTTTATTTTGCAAATGTAAATAGCATGACTTATTGAAAAACTAGAAATGGAATATGTCATAACCTCAAAGAACTATATAAATAATTTACTGTAAGTATGTTCTAATCTAATGATAATCTAATGATAATACAAAACATAAACTCTCTAAACTGGTTTGCTGACATAAGTTAAAACACTGAATTTTGCTTTAAAAATGAGAAAGATACTTTTTTAAATATATTTTGAGCTGCATAGTTTACTTACAGTATTTTCAATGAAAAGAATTTGCTTTAGTAAAAATTTTTACTATATTTCTGTTTTCAAAATTCATCATATTTGTAAAAATAAAACAAGAATACACCAAATTTACTCACACATTTCTCCACCCTAGTTTATTCAGCTTATGATTTAGAAACTTCCAATTTGGGCTAACAATGTAAAATGTATTCATTCAAATAGAAAAGTATTTTAGGCAAGTAAAATAATATTATTAAAACTGATCAGTCCTTTGAAATGCATAACATAATAATGCTATGTATGCTTTTTAATGTACTATGTTTATCTTTTAAGCCATCTGTTCAGGAATAGTATACACTTCATATATTTCCATTCCCAGTTTTCGAGCAGTAAAATTAGTAGGAAAAGAAGGAAAAATGCACGAGTAAATACATACGGCAAATATTAAGGAAAAATATTTATGTATTTATAGCTTATTTTCTTGTAAAAGAAAATTTTTAAAATAAATATTAATATTTATCTGTTTTTTTTGGGGGGGGTACACCACCACTAATAAATTGCAAACTTGTTGACAATTTGGAAGAAAAATGTTTGAGTAGCCTTACATCTATTTTAATGGTGAATCTAGTACTGCCTATATTTTTCTACATTCTTTTTCCATAGAAGTCTCACACTTTCATGAAAGTAATTGTACCCATCGATAGTTTTGTTTGAGGATAATGTTATTGCTTGCTAACACATGTTATTGCTTTTACCATCAAAAGCTTAAAGCTGTTGCTTGTAAATATGTTTCTCCATGCACGTTTCAGTCAGAAAATTATATTAGGCTGTTGTTCTGAAACAAGTAATGATTACTCTAATAGCAGCAAACACTTCAAACAGATTAAACATGTGCTATAAATATACAATCGTAAAATTTCTCTTTGATGCAGGTAGTGCATTCTTATGCCAAAAGGAAACAGATTACTGCTTCTGCTTTAGAGTTATTTGCAGCTAATGATACTAAAATTAAAATGTAGAATACTAAATTTAACTTTCAATCTCAGGCAAAATTCACCCATTTTGGATTACTAGTTGACTTATACAAAAAAAAAAAAAAAAAAAAAAAAAAAATCCACATGACTTCCTTGTACGGAATATTAAATTATATGCATTTTTTCTTGTATTTCATTTAAACTTTATTGGAGGATTGAATTTAATCTACTTCATCGATAGCACATAAACCGCAATAGAATAAATGCACTCTTTAAAATTCACTATATTTGTTTACTATAGTGACACTCTGGCGCTAGGTTCACATAACAGCATTACATTTTTTTCATATTATAACTCAGAATGCATGTAAATTTATATCATTTGAAGAATTATCTAATCGTTGCCACATGTTATATTCAAATACTATAATAAATCTAAAACAATGTGTATAAGAAATTAAGCAAACAAAACAAAAAAGAAACAGTTTTCCCAGACGATTCAGTATTTCTCATTCAATTAATTCAGTTCTCACTTCCCGACAAGGCAAAAATACATAAAAACTCAAAATATCTATATTAAAAATTATGAAGTAAATCTTAAACACTTATTTCCTCGAATAAATTCCAGAATGGATTAAACATGATTTAATTTGCAATAATAAAAGAAGGCGTTATCTTTGTTGTTGGGAAGCTTAGTTTCTCTAGATTGGCAACAAATCTGCTATTTTGCCAAGTCTGTAATAATGAGATTAATTTGTTGCTGATCAGACATAAAATGAAGTATCAAAGGTGCATTGCCTCATTTATACTTCTTCATTAACATTTTGGTGAGGGTGCAGATAATCAAAAAGTATTTTTTTTTTACTCTTATTATTATGTTTATGTATTTTTTTCACCTAAAATAAAGTGCTTTAAATTTTAAAATATTTTATATTTTGTTTTAGTGATTCTGAAGATGAAGATTTCATTGACGCTACAGGTATTTTCTCATTTTAGAATACATATAGAAGAATTTTATTACATTGCAAATAATGAAATAGTCACAGGAAATTATTTATTGACCTTATCGCTTGAAATAACTTGTTGGAATTAGATGAAATGCAAAGTATTTTTTTATTTTTATTTTTATTTTTATTTATTTAACTGCTTCTTGAAATTCAGCCATTGCTCTATGAGCGCTTTTGTAATTTAAGATATTCATCTTGCTGCGTGGAAAATTTCAGTGTTACCTCTAATTTATCTATGAACTGTTTTTAGGTTATCATCTCCATCTCTAAAAATTTATTATTATATGAAACCATAATAATTTAATCTCTTTTAATGAGCAAGCTAAATGCACACATTTCTGTGCTGTTAGCCTGCTTATTTAAAGAAATTTTAATAAATTGATATAATAAACACTGTTATGTTCTGGAGTATTGAAAGCCTATAGGTTTTAGAAGATATGCTGATTTTCTTTTCAAGTTAATAATAGTGTAGTTTATTCTTTCTGCTAAAGAAATTCTTGGGCCTTTTAATTCTGAGGATGTCATCAGCTGAAACTCTTAATAAAAGGTTTGTAAAGAACTCAGTCCTTCTACTAAAGAACTTAATGGGATCAGCATTTCCTGACTGGCCTTGCAGAATTCATACAATATTTCAACTCTTATGTAAATAATTTTCTGATTAAATCATAAACCTTTTTTATCCATTTAATTGCTTTGACCTGAAATCCAGTCAGCTGTTTCTCTTGACATACATTAAGACAATTGTAATCATTCCAAAAATGTAAAAAACCAAATGAAACTATGCTAAAAATAGTTTTTAAAAAGTGTTTTCATTATATAATACAGTCAAAAGTCGTTAATTTGGACACCCATAATCCGGAATGATCTATAATTCGGACCTCAAAGCTACAAACTTTCTGCGCATGCATTGCACCGACACGTAAGATCTTTACGGCTGCGAATATGCGTGTGCACATGCCCAAAATACGTTTACCCATGCGTGTTTAATGTATAACGGACGGTATAAGCTAAGCTAAAATTATCTAATTCAGTTAATGTTGCAGATTGCGTTGTTCCTTAATCCTCGAATTGGATCCGGCTTATTATTTTTTGCAGACTGTTAGAGCAATTTTATAAAAGTAAGCTTGAACTTTTGATTATGTCAAATAGAATTTACGATATATATTTACTAATATGTAAAGGATCTACAAAGCGAAAGTATGTTTCGAAGTCCATTAAACAAAAAGTGGAACTGCTGCAAAAAATGGATAAAGGCATATCCTTTGTTTATCTAACCATTCCGAAATCTGTTTATCAATTTCACGCTGCTCTGTGGCGGGGGGACGATGCCGCCGCAGCACGTAATGAATTGGAAGTTGATCTGTCAGCACTATCCTTATCTTCAAATCAGATGTTTTTATTTTATTTGGCTTATAATTCCTTACTAAATGTAGTATTTCATCTCAATGTACTCCGTCTTTGATATGATTTAAATCAAATTCCTCGTCATTATAATGACGAGGAATTATAATAATTCGCCTCGTCATTATAATAATTCGCTTCCGATAGCGAAGAAAGTAAAGTAAACAAATAAATATTAAGCTTTTTTTTTTGTAAATTTTAATACCCTTTAGATCATAATTGTTCTTTATTTCATAAATCACGGTTTCATATTTTTAATTTTATAATTTCTGCATGCCATCTTACCCGATTTAAAATGGGGATCTATAATCCGGAATCGCCGAAGTCCCGACGAGTCCGGATTAATGACTTTTGACTGTAGTATGTTAGTAGTGTACTTCTATATTAGGAATGGCAACTTGCATCATGTGTGCCACTGTGTAGCATGCCAGAGTTTTAACAGCGGCATGCAAAGATTTATTGAAAAATCAAAAGATCTGAAAAAATAATATCATGTGCATCAAATCCATTGATAAGATACACACATTAGAATAACTATAATAATTCAGTTTCTCTGCAAGATGTTAATTTTTAACCAAATGAAATCCAAATCGAAATTATTGCTATACAGCAGCACACTACACTGAAAAGCAAATATAAGGTACTTATTTCAACTGTAAGTAATCCAAATTATATATTGAAGCTTGGAAATTTGTACCAACAAGCAACTTTTCAAATTTAACACGATTTGGCTGTCAGATTTTCTATAGATTTGGATCAACATATGTTTTTAAACACATGTTTTGTATTATGAACATAACAGAATCAAAATATCATTCAAGATCAACTGATATGTGCCTGAAACATCTAATTTTGTTAGCATCTTTAAGGACAAATCCTAATATATAGATGGCTTGATAAAACAAACTACATATTCCAAACTCACATTAATTAAGTATTGACTGTTTAATAGTTATTTAGAATTAAATGTTTCAAATTATTCATTTTTATTTTATATATAGCCTAACTGACTGATCGTTTTAAAAAAAATGTTTATTAACAATGAAAGCTTAGTTTGTACATTTGTTTTATTTATTATATCATTTTTTTAAACGTCCACTACTCAGACTGTTTTTTGCATAAAAATCCCATAATAAGCCTATAAATAAAATTTTTTTCACCTTTTTATATTTTTTAGTATGTTGGGAAAGTTGGAAGTGGCACGCATAACTTTTTTTTTTCAGATAGTGGAACTCTTACCAAAAAAGGTTAGCCACCCCTGTGTAGTCAGTCTACTGTCAACATTTTCTATTCAAATAAATGTAGAGGAAAATCAGAAATCAAAATCTTAAATTCCTTTGCTTAATATATTCTGCCAAAAAGAAAGACATCAAAAATGCCTTTATTAAATGTGCTGTTTTTGAAAACTGAAAGTGTGTTTGTAATTTATTTTACATAATTTTCTTTTATTTCATTTATTTAAAATTTATAAAAAAAAACTGAATGGGTGCATTTCGCTCTTTCTTTTTTTCTTTTTTTTTGGGGGGGGGAGGGGAAGAAGCAAAGTAAGTATAGGTTTTTGAAAACTTTTGTATAAAGCAAAGCAAAAATTTTGTGCATTTCTGAAACTACCAAAATATATAACACTAGGAAAAACTGTAATCAGTGTGCTTGGGAAAAATCATTCATTATCAAAATAGCATAAAAATGGTCTGATTTCTAGTTAATATTATATGTAAATAATATAATTTCAGTTTTACTTTTGCACAACTTTCATGAATTAGTTGTCATCCAGAAACATAAATATAACAATTTAATATCTTTTACAGATGATGAATTCCCCAGTGAGGATTCCAATACATTGCAGCCTACTATGTGGTTGGGTACAGAAGATGGATGGTAATTAAATATATGTACTTACAGTTATTAAACAGTAAAGGGAAACTATGGGTGAAGTTAGATGCATGTTGAAAAATTAGTTCTATTTAAACTAAAAAGCCCACTTGCAGCTTTTCAATATCAGCAACAACAAATTTCTTCACTTTTTTTTATCCTTTTTGTGTGATAATAATGCTTTGGGAAAAAATTGTTTCTTGTTATGAAGCAATAAATTGTGTTGTTTGCCATTGTGATATTCTAGTTACCAGTATAGAAATAGAGTTGTAGGTAAAGGTTGTACAATTTCTGAATTGTGCATCATGCACAATTTAGCCCTTAATTACTCTGACATTCGATTTTTTTTTTTTTTTTTTTTTTTTTGTATTGATATTGAAATTAGGTCTTCCACACTCCATCAAATTCAGGAAGTAAAGTTAATAATGAAATTGGCATTTCGAGAGTATTGAGACTGGTTTAAACCAAACATAAAATGAGTTTTAACATTTTTTTCATGAAATACTTCTCATTTAAATAGGACGATAAATTTGCAGTGTTGCTAAAAGAAAGATTTGCGATTATTTTGATTATTTTTTGTTTTTGTTTTACACTCAGATAGTCAAGAAGTATGAAACATGTATTAAGTACTTAATTGTTTAGGTTTTATTGTTTTAAATAATTATCCCTTGATGAGTCTGTTTGAGATATTAAACTATGAATAATTCATTTGCAAATTTCAACTTCATTTTTTCAGTTTTCATAATTTAAAAAAACTATTGAAAATTCTAAAGGAGTTTCCAAGTAAAATTTAACCAATTCAATTTGTTTAATATAGCTTTATACTTAATACTTTATTTGTTTGAGTCTATTTTCTTTTCTTAATTTTCAAATTAAATATTTCTTAAAACTTCCAGGCTAGTATAATCATTATTTTAAAAAAAATTTAAAAAAAAATTCTTCAGTAACATTTAATTTTCAATCTTAGGAAGCATAAGCACTTGGTTTTATTTTTTATTCCATATTTTAGCCCCTTTTAGACAAATGTTTCAGTAATATTAAATAATTGTATGTAATCTCCCTCTATATATAGGCCTACCAGCGCAGAGCGGTAAAGTCACTGAACACTGGTAGTTCGGTCCGAGGTTCGAATCCTACGAACGGGCTGGCTGCATGGGTGTTTTCGTGGTTTTCTCCATGTGTAACGTGTATCCGAGCCAGTTTCCCTTAGGAAGTCGTCTACAAAGGCATCCCTCCCCTTAGGCAGATAGCCCTCGAGACTTTGCCGTAATTGAATAACCTAACCTAACCTAACATAACCTATCTCTATATATATAGAGAGAGTATTTTGCATTCAGTATTTTAAATTATACTCAAGAGGAATATACTTTTTACATATTATAAATATAAAATGTTGATGAGATAATATTTGCCCTTGATAAATATAACGAGAAATAGTCACATAATTTTTGTTTTGTCAAAGAAAATATTAATCATCAGTACTTACTTAAATACTAACTGCAATTTGGTCATGCTTGAATTTGATTTTGTTTTACTTCTCCTAATATAATATAATTGGTTCTAAAATGTGGTTTGTATGTCAAGCTGTTTTATTTTTTGTCTATTACTGAGCAATTTTTTTTTTTTTTGTCTATTACTGAGTTAGTGACTGAAACATAGAAAAAAGTAGAAAATGATTGAAAAAAATCATCATCTTTTATGATAATTAACATTATTTGTGTCATTTGAAGTTATGTGTAAGTGACAGTTTTAAGCAGTAATTTAGCAAAGTGTACATTCATCAAAACTTGAATAATTCTTTTTCTGTTCATTATGCTTTTAGATCAGTATTTCATATTTTTCAGAAATTTTGTTTACATCAATATTGTAATATGATATAAAGTTATATATTTCATAGTATTTGATAAATACATCAAATCATAAAATTGTGTAATAGATGTATCTCTCTCTCCCTGTATATATATATACAGAGAGAGATATATATATCTGCTCAGTAATTCTATATATATGTATATATATATATATAAATCAAAATAAAGGTTAGAACGAAAATTAAATAAAAATTGTGTTCCAAAAATGTAGGGTCTAACTTCTCTCTCCAGGTAAAAGTTAACAAACTGAATAAACGAAAATTAAAGAAACATTCAAAAACAGTATCATTAAAAGAAAAGTAAAAATTAAAAGGAAAACAATTTTTAAAAATTTACAGAACATGAGACATAGCAAAACAAATTGCAAAAAACTTTCGTCAAAAAAAATTTTTTATAATCTCTGTTTAATGCTCTTAACAGATCTTGTCAAGGAAAAAGTAATATATGTGTATATATATATATATATATATATAATACATACATTACATTCTATATATAGAGAGAAAGATAGATGTTTTACTATTTATTGTATATATTTTTAAATATATAACCACAATTTTATTTTCAGTATCTATGTATACAATTGTACTGATGTAAAATTGAGAAAAACAAAGCTACGAATCCATCACACCACATGCATATATGATATTGTGTGAGTATATTTCTTTAAACAATTTAGATTTATAAAAAAAATCATCATGGAAAAATAATTAATTTTTCTTTTGTCATTTTAGGCATGTTGAAGGTAAAGTTTTTGTTTCTTTAGCAAATGGTGAAATAGTAGTTTACTCACGTGATAACAGTAAGTATGTTTAGCATGTGTAATATTTTAAGATATAAATTTACTTGCATGTGCAAATTAATCTTTAAATTTTCTTTAATAATTTTGGGCAAGGGTTAAAACTTTTTTTGTTCAGCAACTTCTGCAGGCATAATCAATGCTATATATATTTCAAACATGGGTCTTTGTAATATTTAGTATATACATGTTTCAAAATATGAAGGCAGGATTAATAAAATAAGAATTATTTACAAAAGTTGAAGCTGTGGGCTACTAATCATTTAAAAGTCAATGTTATTTTCTAAATTTTTATAGATTTCTTTAATTAGCTGTGTTAATAGCTTATAAGAAATCTTGATAAAAGATTTTAATAAGGATATTCAGCATGAACTAAACATTTATAAGATAATATATATGAACTCTACTGTGAATTAGCAGGGGTTATCATTGGTCAGGCTTAACACTCATCAGCAGCAGAACACAACTGATTTATTTATACTTATTATTGCATTTGTCATGTAATGTTGTTTTTCAAAGTCATACATTATTATTAAATTTTGTCTTCTCTTGCTCTTTTACATGATTTCAAAAGTCTAGATCATTTGGATTCAGATTAAAGGAATGTAGTGACTAATTCAGAAGTCAAACAACAAAAATCAGCGTTATACCTACAAAAATTTTTCACAGGACTAGTTTCGATGGTTTTACCGAACCATCATCTTCAGCTGCAAAACCGCAAATGGAATGTAGTGACTATTAAATGGACTAAAAACTGATAATATTATCTTGACTGAATTGTTATCACTGCAACTGTGACACAGTACATCCAATAAGAGATGATGTTCCATCTTATGAGAACATGATTAAGATGTTCATGAAATTACAAATTATCAATAATATTTTAACATGTAATGGTCATTTTAAGTCATTCTATAACATCTGATTATCATATAATTGTTTGTACTCATTTCCTGTATGGATGGTTATGATACCCACCTCTGCAAAACAATGAATCTTGCTTGAATCTAAATTTAGTAACAACTGGGCAATGTTTAAACAAACTGTTACTTTCTTAACATTCAAATAGAAATTATTTGTCATGAAAGCATATTCATATAGAGTCAACACTTTAAGGACTTGTCTTTTCTTTCATGATGATCATAATATGCTCCCAATTTGCAGTATTTCCTCTTCCTAATATAACTCTTAGAACTAATTTAAGCATGAATGTTTTGCCATATAATTCAATAATATCAATTTAGGGAATCTTTCCCTTCTGTTTATTTCTGTAGTAGAGCCAAATAAAGTAACTTGAAGTCTTATAAACTGAGTCTATTTTTAATACATTATTGTATAAAGTTTAATATGTTTATGACTCAAGATCTTTCTGCTATTCCATACAAAATTTTATTTACAAATTATTGAATATTTTATTATAGTATTCTAAATCCAAATGCAAAATTAAGATTGTATCTGATCCTCATTTGTAATTTTTTATTCAAGCATTCTCTTTCTAATTTTGTTATAATGTTCAATATAATAAGTATAAATGAGTTATAACTTTATATTAAATTTATTATCTGTAAGATGCAAGAACTTTAGGATATTATCAGATATATGTTAACTAAACTCATTAAAAGGTTTATTTTAATAATTCTGTATAATATGTATGTCAGTATATGTTTCAAATGAAGAGGAAACTTAACTTAAAAGTCGCAGTCTCCAGTGCAGTTTATTATCAGAGTATGAGAAACAATAGAGAAAAAGACAAGTTGGTTCATCTGTGGAATCAGTTCAGTGTTTCCAATGTGCTCTATGTTATTTTTATATGTGGGTATTTTTGCTTTGATTTAACAGATTTTTGTGTTTTTTACTATTATGTATCATTTTTCAAAAATGTATTTAATGTTTTAATAATAAATCAAGTTCTTTAATTCTTTCTTTTTAATTTTGTTTATGTGTATTGTGTTGTATTAAGAAATCAATTTTTTTATTGCAGATGGGCTTTGGAATACAAGTAATCCTCATCGAGTTCAAATTGCCAGTGATGTTGCTCCAATTTTAAAAATAGTATCGATTGAAGAAAAGCTTTGGTGTTCTACCTTAAATTCCATTGTTATTTTAAATGTAAATTCATTAGAGATAGAGGTATTACTATTTATTGTAATTTTATATGTATTTTAGTTCATTAAGTATCCTTTAAGCATTTTAAATAATTTTTGCTTTTCTTTTCTTATAATATGAACAAATTTCTCATTTATTCTAACATGTAATTTATGATTAGAGTTTTGTTAGGAATCAGTGACTTCTCTGAAGATATTCTGAATACTGTTCTATTGAATATGTTCATGGTATGCTGAAAAGAATAGGTCTTTCCATTATTTCTTGTCCATCTGAAAAATGTTTTCCTTTGTTGGAATTTTTCAACACATGGTTTTCCCCTTGTATAATGTGAATACAAGCCAATTCCACTAAATCTTGTGGCACATAGCCCTTAAGTGCATTGCCATAATCAAACAATCCAAACTAAACTCATAAGCAAACATCCCATCATGAAGCAAGTGAACCGGTGGCATGATAAAAGATGGATTGATACTGAGCTTGTACATGACTACCTTACACTTTATTATCAAGTGTGAAGCTATATCATTTACAGTTCTACTCTAAAGCACTATATGATCAAAATGAGCATTCATTTTCATGTACTAATAATGTTGTGTACTTTGCAAGTAGGAAAGATGAGAGATGGAATACTTATGCAGTGGTTAGTTGGTTCAAAGTAATGATCCTATATTTCATTTGTGATGTTTCTTTACAGTCCTGGAAAAGAAATATTTGCTCTGTAACCTCCAATAAGTCTCTGACCTGTACAACTTTGACAAATCATCATTCACAACTCTTTGCTTTTCTGTGCAGTACTTACTGCACATCATGATTCACAAGCAAAATCTGTGCTGCAGAGACTGCTGAAGATCAGATTGCTTGAACTACATCCACCCTTCATGCACTATTAACCAGATCTTCATTTGAATAATTTTTGCAACCAATTTCTGTATTTATTCAAATTCAGATGAATTTTTTAAAATATTATTGTGCCAAGTCTTTTATTTCTCCTTAATTTAATTTATTTGCTTTTATTTGTTTTTCATTGATTTTGATATTGTCTAATGTAAAAGTTTTTGCTTTTCTTTAGATGTATACATTTAATTTATTATATATTTTTATTTTGTAAATATTTACTCTTCATCCAGTTAAGTTTAAAAAGTATTATGCTATCATTTTTTTAAAGTGTTGATATGAATTTATAATGTTTGCATGAGAACATGAGAATAAACTTTGATTTCATTGTTACAAATTTTATTTTAGCACACATTCCAAGTAACATCAGAACTTATGCGACACATTACAGCTATAGTTCCTTCTGGCCAAGGTGTATGGATATCTGTTCAGAGTAGTCCAGTCATTCATTTGTATCATGTTTCAACATATAATCTCTTACTTGAACTGAATATCACAACTTCTGTCACACAGATGCTTAATGGTAATTTTGTATTTTTAAAAAAATTTCTAGTTATAATGATTTTAAATGCAAATATGCTAACAGAAAATGCTTGAATAATGTTGTAGTGTTAATAGTCGTAGCATTATCGTAGCTTTGTTGCATGTTAATGGAATACGGAAGCGGACACAGTTAACAAGATTCTTAATGCCATACAGACAAATTAGAGATAAATAAAGCAAAATATGGAATAACTATTAAGGATAAATAACAAATTGTTATTGTAAAATATGTTAAAAAATCTGCTAGCAGGATGAAGGAATTAGTAATATTAAATGTGGAAAGGTAGACACAGAAGTATCAAACCTTCTATGTTAATATGGGGCTTGAAGTGGCAATAATATATTCTAAAGACGTAATGTAATATGAAAAATATTTTTTAAATTGATGTAAGAAAGAAACATGATGGTATGCGACTAGTAATATTTTTATTGCAAGCTATGGCTTCCCCCCCCAATATTTGAACTTGTGTATCATCAATATAATTGCAGTAAAATTGCCATCGATATAATTGGTAAAACAATTAGTACTTAGTGGTTTTTGTGTTGAAAAATTTTCAGTAGTAATAATGCTTTTGAATAAATGCAGTTATGAAGGGTAGATAATATAAAATTTTATTCCTTCCACCTTGATCTCATTCGACTTTTGCATTATTATCTTAAACTTATCCTCTGGCATTGGCTAAATTATAATTCTTCAGTTAACATATTGGCTATAATTTCCAATTAGACTTGCATGTATAGCAAGTTCTATAATTCTTGGGAATGCAATATAATATTATTAATAGAAACATAATCATTATATTATAAAGGTTTTCATAACAAATTTATAATTCATTCTTTTTGGTTCTATGTAGTAGAAATTGGTACATTTTGCAGTGTATGCAGAGATTGCTTTTATTATTATAATGCTTTCACTTAACAGATTTGATATGAAAATAGGGCTTCATATTCATTTATTCTTTCCTTTATTGCCCCCCCTGGGGGATGACACAGGAAAACTTGTGAAGCTACTGGCTACAATCTGTATCTAGGCAATATTGGCCACGGGGGGCAAGGGCTTGGCAGTTCCCCCATGATCTGTGGGTGTTCGTAGGCAGACAGCTATCCTCATTTATTCGAGTGGCCCATAGGGTGAGGTGGTGTAAGCTCTGTTATAAAACACTTGGGGCATCAGGCCTCCTGCATAATACTGGCATGTAGCATATTTTGACAGCCAGTTAAACTTCCAAGCGAATAGGTCATGGTGACCTCCGAGTGGTGCCTGGTGGCTCGGTAAGTGAATTTACAAAACCTCTCCAAGGGGACTTTTGGTACCACCCAATGCCTGATATTGGGTTCTAAGCTGGAACTCCAGCCCGAGTAGTTGCATTTAGTTACAGGACCTCGTAAATATTCTATTATCTGTTTCCTTTATTGCCTAATTGACACATGACTCCATCAGTTTTGCCCCCTATTTCCTACAGACTAATGTCATTAGCTTGTCTTCAGTTTTATTGTTGATTTTTTTTTTTTTTTTTTTTTTTTTTTTTTTTTTTTTACATTGGTTTTTAAGCCAGTTTTGGTCTTTTCTTTCTTCTCTTTCTTCAGTACTACTTTTGGATCTTTCGTGGCTGGCATTCTTAACAAGTGCCATATCAAAGTCCATCTGTATTTATTTTTTTCTGTGGTGGGTTTTTGTCTTAGTTTTGCTGATTATTTAATACGTTGGTTGAGTTCAGTATGTGTGTCTCTGAATATGAGCCAGATTTGAGCAAATATTTGCAACTAAATATGAGTAAAAAATGGGATACAGTTGGTAAAACCCAGGTTTATTAAAAAATGAGTCTGAACAGACACTGTTGTTAAATCATGGCTGCTTGAAAAATTTAAAAGGTAAACTGTAATTCACTTCATAGCCAGGCATGGTGAAGCAGTGAGTTCAGATATGAAGGCAGAGTATGAATTTCTTAAAACTTTTGCAGTACTAATAGAAGCTGAAGAGTGTTTCTCCCAGCTATTCTCTAACTGTAAAGTGACTCTTCTGGAAGTGATGCAAAATACTAGGCCACAAACCTGTGAAAGATAGTTTGACCCTCACACTGTGTGCAAATGCAAATTGTGACTTAAAAAAATGCTGCTAATATACTTTCAGAGCATTTAAGGCCCATAAAATTATTAAAGAAAAACTCCTCATTGGTATATTTAAGTATAAACTTCATTACATATTTTAAAATAGATTTGCTTCTCAAAATGTCTGATTTTAAATAATTGAGGAGATCCCTGTGTACATCGTTATTTTATATCACCTAAACAGCATATATTAATGTTGTCTGTACTAAACTATGATGAATTTTGGCATGTAATTCATCTTTTGAATTTGCTGCTTAAGATTTCTAAGAATTTTAACTGCAGTATCTTTGGTTAAAGTTTTTATTTATAAAATATTTAATTTCATTCTATAAATAAAAAATGGGATATTTTTTGGTTGATTTCATTTGAATGTAATTAGGGAATTTCATTTTTCATTTTTATTTGCTATGCAGAATGCAGATATTTTATTACTTTATGTATGTAATTAATAAATTGCATATTACATTTTGAGTTAATATGTGAATGAAAAGATTTTATTTTATGTAGGTAATGTGAAAATAGAATAATGTATTTTAAATTATGTGGAATGCAAATATTTTATTACTTTATGCATAATTTTTGTTTTTGTGAATTTTACTGCAGTGTTTTCCTTTTCTTTTCCTTTTTTTATCTATTTTCTGGGCTATATTCTGGAAAACTGTCGTAAATAAATTGGTTTTAAACATGTTAAGTATTATGCATGAAAATGCTTTTGAGTAATATCAATCATTAAAGATGTGGCAATATCTTAGAAATATTAAATTGTAGCATATTTCAAAATAAATTAAGCTAATTTTTGCTAAAAACATAATAAAATTAAAAAACTCGTTAGAATAAATATTGAAAATATTCTATGAATATTTTTCACTAAAAGTTTTTATATCATATACTGAGCAACAGAGCTATTCTTATTTTAGGTACCTTAGAAGAATTTGGGATTTTCAAAGAAATGTAAAATTTAACACATGCAAAAAATCCAATGGGTAATATTAAAATGCTGGGCTCACTGTAAATAGCACATGCTCCAAATTCTAGTTACTGTTAAAATTTTAGAAGATAGTACTTTGGCAGTGTGCAAAGTGATCTGGAAATTATTTACTCATACCTCAACCTTAATTATTACTTCTTTTATTCTGTATGACTTTATAGACACACTAGAGCTTAAAACTCACTGTCCTGTTGGCTGCAATGTTATATTTATCCAAAGTTTACCCATTTTTATATTTATCCAAGTTTTACAGAGAAGGCTGTGCTACTGTTTGCTGTGTACAGATATAGTTTAAAAAATTGTCATTTGATGAAAAATCATGTGAAACTTTGACACGTGAGGGGAGTAGCCATCTATTGTTGTTGATGACGATGGTGGGCTGAGTATTGCTGGTCATTTCAGTTGTATTACTATTAAAAACATGTTTCCATTGTTTGAATTCTATTACATTATGTTACTAAGCATGAGATTTTATGATCCGTGCAATCTGGCAAATTGCTCGTTAGTAGGCAATGCCACTCTAGGAGACAGAAGATTTTAAATTTATCTATCAGACTGAAAGAACATACTGCTCTAGTGAGTGTTTTAAAAGTAATATATGTACTTTTTAATAGTTTATATTTTATTTTTTAAGGCTATCAGTCATTGATGCAAATTGCATGCATCTATGTTTTATGTTCAGCTAACAAACTTTATGAACATTTGCACTGTGAGTGTAATTTTTAGATGCTAAAAATGGAATATAAGATAACTGTTTACACACAGTTTAACAAGTTTTTAAAAGTAGAATTATTTACATATAATTGATTAGCAAGAACTGTTTGTCTAAATGTTAATCTGCATTATAATATTTTCTGATAATACTGTTTCTGAGAATCAAAACAAGGAGGCTTGCAGTGTATTATTTCTTTATCCACTTAGCCATTTATAGACCTTGGCCATTTGTGGGAGAAATGTATGACTAATTTGAATTAACGGCTGAACCTTTTCACTCATTTTTTTTTATTATTATTATTTCAGTACTCACTTTCACAAATTTAAAAGAGTTTGTAATTGTTTGGGTGGTTAAATAGTTCCAAATCAGAAGCATACAGTTATTTTATATCTAAATTTTAGTAATGCGAAAAGTTTTAAATAAAAATAGCAGTTAGCAAAACTTTGGCTACTAAATTAATATATATTGAACATTAAAATGCTGTATTTTATAAGATTTCTAACCATAGAATTTTCTAATTCTTGATGTGAAGTTGGAAATAGTTCACTGAAGTTAATTTTCATGGACTTTCAATCAATGTGGTGGTTGCGGAAACAGTTGCCATACTAATATGACCAAGTTTGAGTCTTAGATTAGACAAAGCCATATGTTATGTGTTTATCCTTTCTTTACTGGAGCAGTTGTCTGCCCTTGCTGCTTTTATGCAGTATTCTTGTTGATGAGCAACTGAAATGATTGATAGGGTTTAATCACTTTTCTCAGAGAGTGTTTACTTGACAAGTGCCAGTCTGTTGAAAAGGGAGGTAGTTGTTGCCCATGTAATTAAGAGAAGGATTTGAATTGTGCATTAACTGCACAAATATATTTTTTTTTAATAAAAGAAGTAAGTTCTATAAAAGGAAACTTGATCTCTTTGTTTGTTTATTTATTTATTTTTATTTTATAAATCAATTAACAAAATCAGAAACATGTATATTGCTGAGATAATGACCAGTTTAAACCAAACTGCTTTTTATTTTTTTATGTTATGTTATTCAGTATATAGTAGTTTCTTTTTATTATAATAAACATGTATTTGAACTCTTGGATAGTTCAAAGCAAATAAATTTCGATACGTTTTTTGAGTTTATAGTAAAGTTTTTATTTTAACATGGAAGATTTTTTTTCTTTGGTCCCAATATCATCAGCTGCGAAAAGGAGATTTTCGAGATGTAAGTAATTTTTATAGTCTACATGTAAACATAAAATATATCTGTAATTGATCATTTAATGTCAATATGGTACGAATTTATATATTATTATGCCTAATATATAAATAATTTCTAATTTTCAACTAAAAAGATTTAAAAATTGGCAGATGTGTTTAAGTTTCGATAATAATTTATAATTGTGCTTTTCATAAAATGGTACACAGTTTTAAACAGTCTTTTAACTTCACACCAGATTGAGGATAAAGTCGTTTTCCAAAATTTTGTATTTTATAAATTTCTCTTTCTTAAATTATGTTTTTGAAAATAGATGGATCCACTTATTCATCAGATCAGAATTATACTCCATTTATACTATTTTAGTAGAATCAATATTTATTCATACAAAAGAATCCTTTCCGAATTTAATGTCTGAATAATGTTTTAATGTATAATGCATTTAATGTAATGTTTCTGAATCATGTCTGAAGTTAAGTTTTCCTTAAATCTTTTGATTTTAGAACATAAGAAGTCCTTTGCTGAGTAACTTATTGATAAATATTAAGATAAACTGATGAATCATTAATGAGGTGATCCATTTGTTTTAAAATATGCTTAAGATCTGCATGCTGATTTATCATTAATTTTAAATCTGCTATCAGGCCTGATTTAAGTGCTTTTGAAGTAGTTCTAAAAGTCATCCAGAAGTTTCTGGGATTATTTAAGCAAATAACATTTCTTGTCTGAACCTTCGAGCTTCCTGAAAAATTTCAGCTTGGAATAATATATCTCAATGTCTGTTCTATGGCTGCACTTATTTTCGTAAAGTACTTAGCTTTATTTTTCCTCTTCTGATTTTAATCTGCTAAGCCTGCTAATTTTTTTTGTTGACTTCATTAATTAGCAAAGCATTCTCTTTCCAATTCCTGTTTTATCAGAGGTTTATGGTAGATATGCAGAAGAATCAGTTACTTGAAGGAAATTGACTTTGGTTGTTTGTTACAAGCCAAAGTTTGCTGATCATACATGAATGTAGGTGGGTGAAGGCATTGTTATGAGGTTGTAATAATTCTGTGAGCCAAAGCTGATTTTTGAGTTTCAGTGGTTGTTTTTTAGCATTAAGTTAATTTGTTTTTTAGCATTAAGCTTGGCTTATGAAAGATGATTAGTATGTTACTGGCTTTCAATGGACATTTCACTCTACTAGAAATTTTAACTCTTTTACCAAATATTTATTTGGTAAAAGAAATTTCTAGTAATTTAAAATTTCTAGTAAAGCCAAAATGTGTTCGTCTCAAACATCTGAAATGTCCATGTATATGAATTTCTATTGAAATGTGTTTCCTTTTCCTCTGCCAAGTAGAATGCTATAACATAAAGAATAACCTACTTAAGGGAAGTGATTACTTCTCTCTTGGGGTTTTTTGTGCAGTTTCTCCTTAGGATAGGATTGCAAGTTCAAGCATCAATAGCTGAGCATTGACACTAAACAAAGGATATCTATGATGCATTCAAATGAGGAAGCTACTTCAATCATTCAAAAGAATGATTGCACTAACGTGATAGGGAAAAGCACCAAGTAGAAAATGGACAGAGGTGTTTGGTGACCTATTGATGTCTGATTGCAGGAGTGATATAGGTGACTTTACTGTGAAAAGGTTAAAATTTTTCTATAACTTCATTTTCAAATCCAGATTTTTAAAAAAACTACATTTCACATATTCTTGTTTCCTGAAAAGTCACCACATTTGCGTATACTTTGAAAGTGTTGACAAGTCATGCACCACATAATCAGATGATGTGCAGGTTCATAATGCTTAATAATACTGTTGTGTGCGTACGTGTTCATCACGAAATGAATGCACAAGTCCGATGAAAAATTAACAAAATTTATTATTATCACAATGAATATGCTTAAATTTCCTCAAATTATCATGCAGTATTACAATATCTCACAGTAGTTATCTTTTAACTACTCAAACATTCAATAGAACTTAATCAAAACAGCTAAAGAAAGCTATTCTGCGAATTCGCTACAATCAACAAGAGCAGTTTTCTAAACAAACTCTTAAAACAGCAACAAGCTAACTAAAATCACTGACTAACTGAATTGAGAGGATTTCCTCCTTTTTATAAGATTTTTAAATTGCACGCGAGAACTTTCTGGAACTTTCTCGAAATCAAAAAGAGATATTTATTAAATGTTAAGTGCACGTACTCTTGTATTTTCAATTTTCGGCTTAGCTTTCTTTTAATATTTGTCACGTGCAGCACTGCGCGGGAAATAAAACCATTTAATTTACAATTCAACTAACATTAGCTATTTAAATACCAAATCCGTAACAATACTCTTAGTATTCAATGATTGAGCTGTGAAATATATCAATGTAAATTGTTCATATCCAGTCCTTTTTTGCTGCCCTCTCCTGCGTTATTTCAAAGCAAATAGCATCATTCGATAAAAAAAATACTTTTATGTTAAGGATATTAAGCACATTAACAGTAAATTCTATGTTATGTTATGTATTTTTTTTTTTTTTTTTTTTAGCATGTGATGAAATTATTCGGCAACATAAGCTAGCTTGTCTTCGAGTTTCTTCTCTTTGTGTGGAAAAAGGCTTGCTATGGATTGGTACTAGTGCTGGAATAATCTTGAATTTAACAATCCCCTTTATAAGTTCAACAACTACTCAAATTGATGTAGTGCCGCACATTGTTGGTAAGTGAAAAACGTCCAGAATAAAAGCAGTTTTTGTTATTGATTTATATGAAAAATAAATGTTATTTAAAAAATATTATATATAAAATAAATATTTTATTTGAAAGGAAATAATTTCGAATTCTTTTGATAACATTTAGGAAAATTTTTGATGGGAAAAATTTCTTTGAATAAATTCTTTTCATTGACTATTTTAAAAATTAATCTTTTTATTATAGTTTTCAGTCAATTATTCATGTAATAAAAATGTTTTTATTTCAGCTTTTAATCTTTGTTAGTTTTAAACTCTATGTACAGATGACTAAACATATTGAATTTAACATAAAAATTAGTTTAATATAATTTACTTTAAATGTAAAGTTTTCAGTGGAAAAGTCAATAGCTCAAGTTAAAATTTCCAAACTAAATTTAAAAATAGAAATTATGCTTAACTCCTTATGTTCATATTACTGCCTACCTTTTTTTTTCTTTATCAAAATTCCAACTTTAAAAGGTAGCATGCCAGAAAGGTTTAAAAAAATGTGCTTAGTGCCTCAAATCTTCAAACAGTGTCAAGTGTCATTTTGAGTTTCTGGAAATTACATAGTTTTTCTATGCCATTCCAGTCCACAATACCTTCATGGAAGGAAAGTTTTTATCTGATTCAGGTACAATGGTATAAGAAGAGAAATTAATTGCCTTGCTATGAAATCATTGTAAGGGCTAGTTACAGTGAAGTACAGATTTGGTCATTTCTGTTGTCTAACATTTCACTCCTGCCTGCTAAAACATCCTGACATTTTAATCAGGCAAATGAAATTAGCATAGATATATTCATAGACTGTTTAAGTGAGATTGCTCACTGCTGAAACATTATTGAAATAAAATTTGATTAAACAAACAAACAAAAAAAAAAAAAACTGATTTTTTTTTTATTTATTTTTGTATGCATGGTCAGATTATAATATTTTAGAGAAGATATTTTAAAATATGCAGGTTATGAAACATCCATTTTAATACTGGGACTTTGTATTTGTTAGATGATATTTAGGTTTTATCTAAATATCATCTAACAAATACAAATATGATCTGTATGATATTCCTATTTTTACATTTCAAGGTACGGGTGTCATAATATAATGCTCTCCTTTTTGCATTTCACAATTAGATAATCCTAACATTGTGTTAAATTTTTGGTTAAGAAATTAACTTGACATGTTATGTGTTCTACTGGATATATTTGGAAAATAAGATTTTTCTAATTACGAAGAATATTAAGGTTTTAAGAAATAAAATTGTAATTGTTTTGCTATAGTATGTATTTAAAAAATTGTAATTTAACTTCAGTTAAATTTTTTCCAGGTATGTCACATGGTCATTTTGGGCATGTTCGTTTCCTCACAAGTATTTGTGCTTTGTCTGGTAAAGATTCGTTTAGCCCTGAAGGAACAAACAAACAGTTTAGTCAATTTAAATATAGTGATGTTAAAGCAGGACCATCCACTTCTAGTGCTGTGCCATATTCTTCTCTTGTGATAAGTGGAGGTGATGGTTATGAAGATTTTGGCAATTTAACTACTGCCGAGACAGCTGGAAGAGATGATAGCACAAATCATTTGCTTATGTGGAGAGTTTGATTAAGATTTATTGTAGCATGTAATGGAGTTACATTGTGTTGATTACAAGAGTTGTGATTTCTAGTGATTAAGGATGTCATTTTGATGAAAGATTCATGTAGAAGTTTGTGTGAGAAACTATTACATTTTTGTTGAAGGCTTAAGGAGGGAAGTATGCAGAAAGGAAGAGTATAATGTTTGCACATTGCTCTTTTGTGGAAGAAGTAAATGGAAATACTAAACATAAAGTTCAAAGTTTACAAATTTATGAAATATTGTTTTAACACATTGGTGTATTATAATATCGTAAAACATTTATATACAGGGTGTTTCTAAATAATATTGGGGTTTTAATGCTTTGTAGTATTTATTATGTAAAACTAAAAATTATAATTAATACACAAAATGAAAGAGCATCTCAAACAGTTATACCTACAAGCTTACAAGTATTCAGTGTGAGCACCTTTCGTCACACGACACACATGAAGTCGAAAACCCTTGGTCTAACTAATCCTTGGTGGTCCCATACTCTTCACTTAGCAAAGGCAGCCGGTTTTAAAACTGATGATACCATCTGAGGATATTATTATTTTTGGGAGATCATATTTGAACTTAATCTGAAATGCACATTGTACGGTAACTGTGGATTCAGTCTTTGCAAACTGCATAACACAAATTTCTGTTCACTAGTCACCATTTTTGCTACTAGCACTTTCTGCTGCATGTGCATACCAACAAGCAGAACTGTTTGAGTTGCTCTTTCATTTAATGCATTAATTATGATTTTAAGTTTTACGTAATAAATACTTCAAAGCGTTGAAATCCCCATATTCATTTAGGAATGCCCTGTATATTGCTTTTATCTCAATGCATTAATTGCTCAGGTATTATATCATTTTGAAATTATGTCTGTCAGATTACTATAATAGTAAGATTTAATTTAGATTTTATATAAGAGACATTTTCATTCTATATTTTAAACTTTCTTCCTATAGATTCTCTATATTTTGTTAACAGCTGATATTTATCTGAATAATTTAAACTTAGCTTATGTGTGCCCCCTTGTTATGTTCTATAGATATAAAACTTGAGGTAAGCAGTGACAGGGCAGATACTCTGTATTTTAAGTATATAATATTGCAATACATTTTGGAAACTGCTAACTTTTTCTTGCAGGCACTTGGAAATTCAATTCTTCATATTTGAGAGTATTTTAGTGATCTTAGTGTCATTAGTTACTGTGGTGAAGTTGTCTTTCAATTGCTGGATTATGTATGATTTCAAAATATGTAGACCTTCTTTGGTAACAATACAATGTGTGAAGTTCTGTATAATTGTCATAGACATTTTGAAAGGGCAATTGGTCATGTCATCTTGCCAGCATTAGGTACTTCATATTGAGTTACTGGTTAAAAATATGATGATGACATTGTAATATTTGTTAGTGTTTGCTGATTCTGAAAAATAGTAAAGGCTTTCAAGACTTATATAGACGTTTTCAAAGTTTACACCTTGAAAAATATCACTGGCAGATGGATCTAATTTCTTCGAAGCTGTTCAGGTTTCTAAATCTTAGTCCTCCATCTGCCTTTCTGGATGGCTTGTTGAAGGAGAAGGTGTGTATACACCAAAAACATTTAAAAAGGTTGAAAATGAACATTGCTGACGTAATTGAAAAGAGCCATACATGTTTCAGTCAGATGTTTGGAATCATGGAGCATTGGATTTGCCAGGTGCTTATGGAAAAAAAACTGCCACTTTAATACTAATTGTATTGCAATATAGTGTTCATATCTGAAGGTCTGAATTATATGTGCTTACTTTGCGTATTTTGTCTGCAGTAAATGGTAACTTTGGTGTTCCTATGTGTGAAAAAGTGTGTCAAGTTTGTGTAAACTGTTAATACCAAAAATTATAATTTGTTAAATAATGTAAGTTTGTACAATTTTTTATTATCTAATTATTTTCAGAAATAAAAATTTCAGATATTTTGATTTATTACAGTCTGAAACTATAATTAACCAACTGAAAAGATATTGTATTTTTCTGCATTTACAAGATTAGCAAAATATTTCTAAGATTGACTCAAAATCTTAACTTGAATGCATTTGTGTAGTGGATTTTTCTGAAATTAGCATGACATTAAAATGCTGTACTATCGTTTTATAAGATAATTGGCAAAAGGTATTTTCTACAGTTTATATAATGTTTGTAAATATCAAGTAATTGTTGTGTACAGTTTTTTAAATTTTTCTCTTAAAATGTTGAGATAATTTTTTTTAATTGTGGTGCTATGGAAACATGTTTAATAAATATGTGTGTGTGTATATATATTATATATATGTATGTATGTATTTATCTAATATTTTATTCTTTTAAGAAATGATTTTTTTCAAATGTTATTAATTTGTAAATGGGCATTTATTTAATTATAGAGATATAATAATCTTAATTAAACATATATGATGTTGCTACAGCCTTTTCAACATTTAAATCACATTTTATATTTCTGTTAAGAATTTTAAAGTAATATGTATTGTTGGAATGCATAAATGAATATGTAAGAATATGGAGAAATTAGTACATGCACCTTATTTAAAATTACACAAGGTACAGTTATTATAAATTTGTAATATCTTCATAAAGTATTAAACTTTTATAACTATTTATGTTATTAACATGCAGTATGTAAGTTAAATTTTTTTAACAGGAAAAAAATCTTTGCTAAAAGTACTCATAAATTTGATTACCTTAAGATCAGCCAACCTTTAGTCAATCACAGACTAAATCTTCAAGAGAACCACTGCCTTAAAATGTTAACACCTACCATCCATTTGTTCATGTGGAAACCAGAGCATTAACTTGTATGATGTTTCCTCTTGTCTTGGAAGCTGGAGCTGGTGAGTTACATGAGCCAGTCACAAGGCTCCATGTGGATAAATGTTGGCAAGAAGCGGACATTTCTCCATAAATACAAAGATGGCCATAGAATAACTGAAAATCTGAAATAATCAAATTTGTGATGAATTTTAAAATTTGTTTACAGCCTTTTTTCCCATTTAATTTCTATCCGATACTTTATTTAATTTTTTTTTTTCTGTTGAGTGTTCTGTGTGCTGTTTGAAATAAATAAATAAATAAATAAAAATACCACTTGAAATAAGTTTGAAAGTAAACAATTTTCAAACACAAATGACATTATGTGTTAATTTTTTTCCTTTATTTTAGAGTAAAAACTGTGTTTTATATTTCTGTATGGAACTGGTTCTTAAAATATTTTTCAAAGAGAAACATTAAGCAATAAATAGAAGAATTGTTTACCTTGTGATTGAGAAGCCAAATTTAGTTTGCTTAAGTGAACTAAAAATCGTTACATATGTTATTTTCATTGTAATTATGTATTATAATATTTAATAAAATTTCTTTCAGTACATTAGGCATTCATCATATATGTAATATAACTCAGTTTAAGCAAAGATTTAATTAAGCATGACTGCTTGTGATGTGTCATATGCATCTGAAATATCTATGCTAGAAATTTTTTTCAAAAGCTTTTCTTGATTTTTATAAACAACTATATAACTGCAAATTACCATAAATGTCTTCAAGTAATGAAGGAATTTGTTCTATTTATTTTCAGAATAGTTTGAAGAGTGAATAATGGGAATCTGAACTTTACATTATCTTCAGGAAGAAGTTTAATTTTTGGTCAGACATTCAGCTTTTAAACATTTAAAAATGTTTTCAAATATTAAATATTTTTGGTTAATGATATGTTTCTTCCGAAAGGGAAATATTTTATATTAGATTTTGATAAGAATAGCAGCATCAAACATAAGACTAAGGGAAAGAAGAATTAAAGGGCAAAAAAGCATCCAGTTTGAAACATCCAGAAAGGAATGTTTCATATGGCTAGCTTTTGTATAAGAGTAAGAAATTGCCTTTTGATAATGGTGCAAATGTTGTGAACTTTATTGTTGCGATCATCATGTCCTTTCAAATTCCTAAAACTCTGAATCAGTCAAAGAACTGTGCAAAATGGAAAATTTATTATTTAAAAATGCTAATAATGAGAGAATTTGTGATGCACTTTGAAACACAAATTTTAGGACCTCACAATTATTACATGAACTGTGGGAAAATGCAAAGTGCATGAATTATTAGAATGGAATTACATTGTTGTAGGTTCTTAACTCATTATTAAAAGTTTATCTTTCCTTAATTTTGTTCTTTGCAGGATATGATGATCAGTTATTTGTTAATTGTCAGAGACTCTAATAATGTTCAAAAGCATCCAATTTTAATTTCAAGTGTTTGCTCTATGAATGCCAGTTTTTGTCCCAAACTGTTCCCATTTGGACACTATTAGAAGAATATTCTGTTGCAATGAAAATAAAGTTACACTTTCCAGATAACAAAAGTATTTTCAAAATACAGCATTTTGCTTTTTCATTGTACCTTGTAAACAGCAAATATGTAGCTGTTCTACTATATGTTTAACAATACTTGATAATTAGTTTCTAAGAAATATATCTTTTTTCAGTAATTAAACTACAGCTACAAATGTGCGATGGTAAATTGTATCGCTGTTTCTTGGGCATTTACTAATGCATCAATTTGTTTTTTAACATCCCTTTATTTTAGTAATGAAATTTTTCACTACTCTTTTTTTTTTTTTTTTTTTTTTTTTTTAATTGATTTTTATAACTTCAGTTTTCAGAATATATTCCTATTTTTCAAAATCATCTAAATTTTTCTGAGTACTCATTTTTATATAATATTTATGAAAATGATTGATTTGCAAAGTAATGTTTTATAATTAAATCCTTTAATCAAATTTGTAAGCAAAATACCTTTATTGTGATTATAAATATATCAGTTGTAGAAGTTATGGCAAAACGACTTTATGTAACAGCTATAGTGTGCTATTAACACATTACTCTTGTGTATAACTTAATGTAAAGTTTGAATATTTTTGTACTATTCGTATTTTGCTTCTGAAAATTTCATATATCAAATCTGATTATGTAATTTTGTCATTTTCTGAATGAAGAATTAACTAATTATAAATTGTTTGATAATTAAGCAACAGTGTGTATAATTCTCCATAGATTATAGAAAATTTCTTTTTTAACATGCTTGGATATAAATGTTCTATAAAGACTCATGTGATTTGAAGAAGTGCCTCACTGTAAAATAAAAATTCTGTGTTTACTTTTGGAGCTTTTTTTTTTTTTTTTTTTTTTTCCTAAATCCTTATAAAACAGTGATATACAAAATCATTGTAAGATAAGAAATAAGAAACTTATTTATTGGAAAGAAAATGCTAACTAACAAGACTTTTAACAAAAGAATTAACAATACTATTTTGTATGAGCTATAATGTTTCTAATAAAGAAATTCTGAGACTATTAATGTAAAAATTACATTTCGTAACTTTGAAAGTAGTATATATTCTTGTTGCTCACATAAAATGTGCATGTTTAAATAAAGTTATAACATTGTGTTTAATGTTCATATTGTCTTGGATGTGAGTATTTTGTACTAGTCTAACTGAATTAATTCTTCTTTTTGTTAATTTGCTGCAAATTTTTATGAAGTGAACTATTTCTAAATATATTTGTTTTGGTACATATTTCTATTATAGATATATATTTTTAGTGTAAAGTAGATTTTTTTTTTTTTTTTTTTTGTTGTATTTCGTGAAATGTGTTAAATTGAAACAAACATCAAACTGTTAAATTTTATGTATGGTTATTGAATATTATCTCCCTATTTGTCAACATTAAGTAAAGAAGAATAGCATTTGTCTCCAAATAGGTATATTTTTTTAAAAACGAAGTTGATTTCTTGCTATTATAAGACCACTGCTTGAGGTTATGAAGAACATTTTGGTGTTGTGAAGAGTAGATTGCACTGTTTTTGAAATATATGTACAAATATTTATTACTTTTTCAACTGCTTAGTTTTTTTTTTTTATAATCCGAAACACACATTTAAAGTACTATGTAAGGGAAAAATAGCTCATTTTAGATTGATGCATGTTCTGTGTGTATGTATATGTGTGTGTATATATATATATTAGCAGCTATATTTATACTTTTCATTTTTAAATAGCTATGTGTTCATTTTAAACATGTTATGTTGCAGCAACTTTAAATTTTGCAATCCCAGATTTTGCATCCACAAAATAATCATATCATGCATATCTTCTAAACTGTTTTAAATAGATATATGATGTGCATATAATGTTATGATAAATGCTATATGCCGATCATAACTACAGTGTGTCATAATAAAAAAGTAAGATTTTTATATTATTGTGATCTTCTGGTGTATGTGTGTGTGTGTCTGTTTGTATGCACATATACCAAATAATGCAGTAATATTGCTGAAAGCTTAAAAAAAAGGGCTATTGTATTATTTTTCTGTATTATGATATTATTTCTCATTAGCATGTTTAAATTCAATTTCTTAATTGCATGTTAAAATATGTTCTTCAGTCAAAGTGCCAAAATTATGTAAAATGTTTTTATTGATTACATTCAGTTATTCCAGTGTTACTATAGATGGCTTTGTTATAAAAATAGGAGGTTTCGAGTGATTTAGTAGCATTTCATTTTGAGAGGAATAATAAATGTTAAATTTTTAATTTAAAAATTAAATAATTGCTCTCATTTTATGTTACTTGAACTTTCCAAGGAATTTTTTTAATAATCAGGTGCTTATTATTATTTTTTAATTCATAAAAATATCTTTTCTTTCAACCTAAGAACATAATTTCAATTATAAAAAAAATAAAACCCAATTTGGCTTATTGTTTGAATTCATTTACTGTTGTTTTGTATCAAACATGCATAAAAAGTAGATATTTTTTGTGTATGTGTTTTTATACAAATATAAAAAGAAAGATTTTAGTCACATTTGTGAGTAAAAGTGGCTTTAATTTTGTAATTATTGTTTATTATTTATACTGTATAAAAATGCTACAAGAATTATGTAATAAAGTTTAAGAAAATGTTTTTCTGAAGCTACTTTTTGGATTAAAATTGACACTGTTAAAGTCAATTTGTATTCTTCTAATAAAAATGTTAGTTAGTTCGTGTGATAAGGAGAACTCTGAGTATAAGTAAATAACATAAGATTTAATGAGTTTTCACATAAGAGATAACATGATAGAATACATACATGTCAGCCTATGACAATAAAAAAAAAGAACAAGATAAGATAGATAATTTGATCACAATAAAGCTTTAACGTCATGTTTACTTGACATTATATTATCTCATGAGGCAC